TACCACTTAGCCATGGCCCTAGTCCTCCCCCCTTTTATGACTGATCCTTTTTTGCACGAACAAGTTGAATTTAAGAGAGGGACCGTATTTTAGGAATAAAGAAAATAAAATGCTTCCTTCTGATATAGAAATGGCAGTACATGTTGACATTTAAAGGAAGTAGGGAATTAATCTCCCCCTTCCCTCTTCTCTCTCTTCCCACTTCCTCCCCCCCCCCATACCTCCTTGGGAGTTGGTTCTCTTCTTCCATCATGTGGGTTAGGGGATGAGCACATCTGAGCGCTCTTCTCTCTGACTACAGTTTTCGAATGACCTTCATCTTTCTGCCTTTCCATCCCACCTAGTTCTATTTTTCCTTCACAATGAAAAGCACCTGACATCACTTACTTTATAACCCCCTCATCAGGATTTTAACCAAGTACTCGGCATGGAATCAAAGAACTTGCAGGAGAGAAATTGGCTCTTGCCTAGCACTTGTAAATGTTGTTGAGAGTGAACAGACCTTGGCTATGGAGGCCATGGTGCTATTAATGTTTTATCAGTAGCTTAAAGCTTCCATCCTGGTTTTGTACTGTTATGTAAGCATGCCTATGTAGCTCTGTAGACCAGACTGGCCTCAACTCACAGAGCTCCACCTGCCTCTTAATCCACAGCCTCCCTAGTGCTGGGATTAAAAGTGTGTGCCACCACCGCTTGGCTGTACTCAAAATTTAAGGATATAGTTGTAACTTTTTCCCCACCCCATACTGGTACCTGACACAAGATCAGAACCAATATGAGTCAGTCTCAGTCTCAGTCTCTCTCTCTCTCTCTCTCTCTCTCTCTCTCTCTCTCTCTCACACACACACACACACACACACGTAGCCTGAGGCATGGCTTCTTTCGTTTCTACTTTCTTTCAGTTTTCTTTTGAAGCACAAATGTGGGTCCTCAACACTCATAGAAAAGCCTTGCACTGCGGTGTGTGTTGTAACCCAGTGCTGGGGGCAGTAGAGCTGCTGGTGCCCATCTTTCTTATCTGGAGATTGTCCAATGAGAAAAAAATGTTTGAATTCACATTTTAATGGGAAATCATCTGTAAAGAGCTTTGTGAGAGCATTTCATTTCAAGATTGTGAAAAATTAAGTGACTTTATACAAATACAGTATTTAGAACTTAAAACCTCAAGATGTGCTACAATATGTGTGTACTTAGAAGTTAATCATATTCATATTTAATACAGTTAAATTAGCTCCATAGAGTCAAACAGGAACAGATGATTTTTATTCAGAATCTTGAAATGGTGTCTGATCTTTGGAATTTAACTAGTATAGCCATGGGAATGAACCACTTTGTGATGGGCTCCTTGGCTAAGTGAGCATGATGCAGTCATGATCGCTGCATGGCTTAGTATCTACTGCACTGCCTTCTGTCAGATGCTGCACTTGGACTGGTGAGTTGACTCAACAGATGGCTCATCTATTGAAGGTGCTTGCCAGCAAACCTGAGGACATGATTTTGTTTCCTAGGACTCAATATTGGATGCAGAATGGATGTGTGCCATGGATATGTTTGTGCATGCCCACCCCCAGTGAGCACACACACACACACATATATATAAGTAAATGTAGTAGAAACTTTTTTAGAGCACTGGAACCCAGGGCCTTATGTATATTATTAAATATGTACTAGTGAACTTTCTCCAGCCATTCTAACCTTTGACATTTATACCTTTCTAGTTTCTATCGCAGGCTATTTTCTCATCATGTGTTCATACCAGCTGGCACTGCCGTGTGTGTATCAGCAGCAGCGGCTAGCCGTTAGCTCACTCAGTCTCCATACATTTGCCTTGCGAGAGCGCTCTTCTGCCTGCCTGTCTGGCACTTTGGCTCCTAGTTCTGTGGTGGGCAGCAGGTTCAGGCTGTCAGTATTAGTACCTAGGCATCTATGATGTGCCCCATCTTTCCACTGCACCACAGACTAGCTGGTGTAGCTGTGTGGTAGCATGTTGGATATTGGCTTTGGTTTCAATAAATTCTGGTTTTCCCAATTTTCTTAAGGTGTTTTTTTTTTTAAACATTTATTTATTTATTATGTATACAACTTTCTGCCTCCATGTATACCCACACGCCAGAGGAAGGCGCCAGATCTCATTACAGATGGTTTGGAGCCACCATGTGGTTGCTGGGAATTGAACTCAGGACCTCTGGAAGAACAGACAGTGCTCTTAACCACGGAGCCATTTCTCTGGCCCTCTTTAAGGTGTTTTAAATTCTGATTGCTACATATTGTTTAAAACTGCAGTTGGATCTTATTTTTTCCCACAAATAAATCCAGACAACTCACATGACTTGACCTGAGGTATTGGGATAGTTAAGCAGCCCCTTTCTCCACTGTATCCTGGCATGGCCACAGGAGCTATCGAGTACCTAGTGTCTTCTGAAAGAATAGAAAGCTTGAACCCCCAGGGAGCGGAGCCTTAGTGTTTCAGATAGAGCAAATTGTGATTTTTTTTTTATTAAAAATTTCCACCTCCTCCCATCCTCCCATTTCCCTCCTCCTTCCCCTCCCTCTCTGAGTCCTAAGAGAAGTCAGGGTGCCCTGCCCTGTGGGAAGTCCAAGGCCCTCCCCCCTCCATCCAGGTCTAGGAAGGTGTGCATCCAAACAGACTAGGCTCCCAAAAAGCCAGTACATGCAGTAGAATCAAAACCCAGTGTCATTATCATTGGCTTCTCAGTCTGCCCTTATTGTCAGCCACATTCAGAGAGTCTGGTTTGATCAGTCCAGCTGGCCCTGGTGAGCTCCCATTAGATCAGTCCCACCATCTCACGGTCCTGACTTCCTTGCTCATGTTCTCCCTCCTTGTGATTTATCCCTTTATCTTTTACTCTGAAAAGATGCTCAGGAAGATTTTTGTGTAGAGACTGGGATAATTATGGCCCTTTATGGCAGGATTCTTACTTGGGCTACAGTGAGGCTAGTTGTGCTGTTGTAATTGACAGTAGGAACTGGGACCTATCTACTGTATACCTGTCAGTCGCTGGACAACTCACCCTCCCCAAAGAATAATTTTACCTTAAATAAACCAGAATGTCTTAGTGCTGGGAGGAGACACCACAACCATAGCAACTCTCTTTTTAATTTTTTTATTTTTTTGATTTTTCAAGGCAGGTTTCTCTGGCTTTGGGACCTGTCCTGGAACTTACTGTGTGGGTCAGACTAGCCTCAAACTCATAGAGATCCGCCTGCCTCAGCATCTCGAGTGCTGGGATAGGGTGTGCACCACCACCGCCCCCACAGTCACAGCAACTCCTATAAAAGAAAACATTTAATTGGGGCTTACAGTTCCAGAGGTTTAGTCTCTAATTATCATGGTGGTGTGCAGGCAGGCATGGTGCTGGAGGTCTACATCTTGTTCCACAGACGGCTGCAAAAACAGCTCTGCCCCACACTGGGTGTAACTTGAGCATATGAGGATCCCCCCAGCCGCCAACAAGGCCACCCCTCCTTATAGTGCTGCTCCCTATGGGCCGAGCATTCGAACTCATGAGTCTGTGGGGTTATTCCTATTCAAACGCAGGATAAGCTGGGTATGGTGGCACACACCTTTAATCCCAACACTCAGGAGGCAAAAGCAGGCAGATCTCTGTGACTTTGAGGCCAGTCTGGTCTGTATATCAAGTTCCAGGCCAGACAGAGCTACTTAGTGAAACCCTGTCTCAAAGACAAAGTAAAACAAAATGCTAAAGATAAATAAACATTCTGGGCAGTGGTGACTCACATCTTTAATCCCAGCACTCAGGAGATAGAGGCAGGCAGATCTCTGATTTTGAGGCCAGCCTGGCCTAGAAAGCGAGTTCCAGGACAGCCAGGGCTGTTATACACAAAACGACAACAACAGGAAAGGAAAGGAAAGGAAAGGAAAGGAAAGGAAAGGAAAGGAAAGGAAAGAGAGAGAGAGAGAGAGAGAGAGAGAGAGAGAGAGAGAGAGAGAAATAAATCAGGGTGCCAGGTTGAGACCTTCCTCTAGACTAAGAACTTGATGGTTCCTCAGGCGTGTGCTTATAGGACCTTCTCGGAGAGGACGTGTGGAGGTGGATGTAGCTTGCTTTTACTGATTAACTTGTGTTCCCTAACTTCCACTTCAACGCCCACCTTATCTTTTTTAGGGTGGAATTCACATAATAGAAATTAAAACACTTTAAAGAGAATGATTCAGTAGCACTTAGTATATTCACATTGTTGTGCAACTGCCTCCCTACCTAAGTCTGTATTTTTGTCACCCTCAAAGGAGGCCTGTTCTCAATAAAATTTCATACTTTGTGTATGGCCCCATGCAACTCCTCTTTGTCCGTGGATCTGCATATTTTGGATGTGTCGTAATTGACGTTATCTTCTATGTACATGGCTGTGTGTATATAGGTAGATAGGTAGGTCAAAACAACTTTTTGGGAGTTGGTTTTCTCCTACTTGATGTGGTGTTCAGGGACTGAGCTCAGGTCATTAGGACTGGCATCAAGTTTTGTTATCTGCTGAGTCATCTTGCCAGCCTCTTTATTTTGTTTACTATTTCTGTTTTTTTTTTTTTTAAATATTTATTTATTTAGTTAGTATACAATATTCTGTCTTGTGTGTCTGCCTGAAGGCCAGAAGAGGGCATCAGATCTCATTTCAGATGGTTGTGAGCCACCATGTGGTTGCTGGGAATTGAACTCAGGACCTTTGGAAGAGCAGGCAATGCTCTTAACCGCTGAGCCATCTCTCCAGCCCCCTGTTTACTATTTCTGTAGGTGTGTGTGTGTGCACGCACACGCGTGTGTAGGCAGGGTCTCACTATGAAGACCAGGCTGAGTGCCTGGTCTCCATTTCTTTATTTTTCAGTGTTGAAAAATTAAATTCTATAATGAGTAGAAATTTATGGTGGAGAAAGTAATAGAGAAGAGGATTGTGTATGTGTTCTTTTCTACAATGTAGCTGTTAGCACAGCCCCAATATGATAAAAATCTTTTCTGTTGTTACAGATAGACTTACATGTGTGGGAAAACAGACCAGAAACACTTCTGAATTAAGGTAACTTCACATATATAATTGTTGTCATTTTTGTGGGGTTTTGGAGGTGGGGGATTTTGAGAATGTTTCACTGTGTACCTTTGACTGTGTAGACTTAACTATGCAGACCAGGCTGGCCTTGAATTTACAAAGATCCACCTGCCTCTGCCTCCCAGGGCAGTGATTAAAAGTGTGCTCTGTGTCCATCCTGATACTCATCAGTTTTGTTTTATATCTCAAGACAGGGTTCCTCTGTGTAGCCCTGGTTGGTCTGGCGTTCACTTTGTAAATCAGGCTGTCAGGGACTCTGATTCACCTGCCTTCTGAGGGCTGGGATTAAAGGTGTAAACCACAGAGCCCAATACTCATCAGTTCTTAAAGTACAGCATTTACATTTCTTCTGGGTGTCAAGCTGAGATCCTTGCCCATGCTAAACTTGTACTCTACTGGCAAGATACATCTACCACCAGCCCAGGGTTATTAATCTCATTGTTTTTTTTTTGTTGTTTGTTTGTTTGTTTTTGTATACAATGTTCTGCCTATGTGTATGCCTGCAGGCCAGAAGAGGGCACCAGATCTCATCATAGATGGTGTAAACCACCATGTGGTTGCCGGGAATTGAACTCAGGACCTGTGGAAGGGCAGCTGGTGCTCTTAACCACTTAGCCATTTCTCCAGCTCCTTTGTTAGAAGTTTTACTTTCTTTCAAATGGTCTCTATTACTCTGTCACAGTTTTACCTGTTCTCTTGCTGTATTGTCTAATCTGGCCTTGACCTGCCTCATTCTCTCAAGTAACTGGTACCCCACCCCCTCTTTTTGAGATAGTTTGTCTTACTAAATGTAGGCCTGGCTAACCTCAGACTTGTACCTCTACCCCCCCTGCGCTGTCTTTGTTGGTATTTTATATTTCTAGGTGTCTTGTCTGCTGTATGTCTGTGTGCTATGTGCATGCAGTGCAGGCAGAGGCCAAAGAGAAAGAGTTACAGATAGTTGTTATCTCCTATATGGTGCTGGGAATGTCCAGGAAGAACATGCAGTGCTCTGAACCATAGGGACATCTCATCTCTTCATCCTGCTGTTCCCAGCCTCCCTTTGGTGTTTCACCATGCAGGCCAGGTTGACCTTAAAGTCAGTCTTCCTGCCTCGTTCTCTCAGCACGCTGAGATTACAGGTGTAAGCCACCAACATCTGGCCCATTTCTCTATTTTAAAAATTTGTGTGTGTGTCCATGCATGTGTATTTTTTTAAGTTTTATTTTTAATTGGATATGTGTTTTGTGTGTGTGCATGGGGGGGGGTATTTGCATGTGAGTGCAGGCGTCCCCAGAGGCCAGAGGGCTCAAAATGCCTTGAAGCTGAATTAAATTCAGGTTCTCCATTAGAGTAGCATGTGTTTTTAATGTTTGGAGCATCTCTCCTGAGCTTTCTTCCTTAGGTTTTGAAACAGTGAGCCATCTCTCCATCCTTGTGTGTGTGCGTGTTCCTGCAGGTATTGTACATGCCTGTGCCTATGCTGTACAAAGGCCGAAAAAAGTGTATCTAACCCTTCACAAGAGTTAGGCATTTGCAATAATGCCTAGCTGTTACTGTGTATTTGTATTATGTTGTTTTGGTCTCCAAGACAGGGTTTCTCTGTGTAGCCCTGGCTTCCTGGAACTCAAAAATCTGCCTACCTTTGTCTTCCAAGTGCTGGAATTAAAGGCATGAGCCACAACCCAGATTTCTTTTCTCTTTGTTTTCTTACATTTCAATCAAGATTCAAAGTTCACAAATAATTTAGCGGACGGGGGGGGGGGGGTAGTGGACAAGAAAGAGGTTTGAAACAGGATATTAATGTATAGCCCACATTGACCCAATTCTCAATGTCCTCCTGTTTTACCTTTTTTTTTTTTTGTTTGTTTTTTTTTGTTTTTCGAGACAGGGTTTCTCTGTGGTTTTGGAGCCTGTCCTGGAACTAGCTCTTGTAGACCAGGCTAGTCTCGAACCTGTTTTACCTTTTTGAGTGCTGAGATTAGATGTATGTTCCACCTTACCAAATTTAAAAGGTGGCTATTAATAGAAAACTGAAATTCGTACAAGAAGTTAACCACTTGAAAAAATTCTGTCAGCAAACTAAAATCATCACTAGCTCATAGCTGATCTTTTTCTTACACGTGCCCCTACCCACTTCTCTATTTCTTGCTTGTTTTGAGGAGAATCTTTGTTCTTAAAGACCTTCAGTACCTTTAAACATAAAACAATACTGTTATCACACTTAGAAAATGTGTTGATGGTTGCTCCCTGTATAGCTCCCTGTTTATGTTCAGGTCTAGTGCTGTTTGTTTGGCTTTACAATTCTAATCTCCCCTCCCTCCTTCCATCCCTTTCTTTCTCTCAGATTGACACAGAATCTCACTATGTAGGTCTGACTGTCCTGAAACTCACTATTTAGACCAGGCTGGCCTCAACACTCACAAAGATCCACCTACCTTTGCCTCCTGAGTGCTGGGATCAAAGACATTCACTTACAAATCCAGCCACTTTCATAACTTCAAATCTTTAAGAAATTCCTGTCATTGAAAATAACATCTCAAAGAAGGACAGTAGTGTTCTCTGTTAATATGACTTCTACTCAGATGTCAGCTATTAACACTTCAGTAGTATAATCACTGAGAGGCTTATGGGATGGGGGTGGACTGTCAGACTGATTATCTCATTTAATTTTTGTTTTAGCTCTGTGACATAGATGATGATGTTCCAGACCAGAGTAAAACCTGATTCAGTGAAGTCCTATTTGTATGTTGGAGAAACTGAAATTCTTTTTCTTGCTTTCTTTGTTTTTGTTTTTCCAGTTTTTCTCTGTTTAGCATTGAGTGTCCTAGAACTTTCTCTGTAGATGCGGCTGGCATTGAACTCACAGAGATCTCCCTGACTCTGTCTCCTGAGTGCTGGGATTAAAGGTGTGTACCACCCCTGCCTGGCAATGAAATTGTTTTTCAAAATATGCCCCTTTAAAAATTTTTGAATTATAGTCTATTTTGTGTGTATACATTGCAACAGACCGCACATAGGGAAGTCAGGACAACTTACAGGAGTCAGTTCTCCCCTTCTATGAGGTGTATCCTGAGCTGTCCAAATCAGGTTGGCAGGTTTGACGTTAAGTGTCTTTACTGGCTAAACCATCTTGACAGCCCATATGTCTGTCTGTTTTCTGTCGGTAGCAGACTTGTAGCCCAAGTGTCATTGTTGATAACTGTCTAATAGTAGGACCCTGAGGTCACCGTTGAGGTACTCTGCACGCCTTCCTTCACAGGGTCTTGATTGGAGGGCATTATGCTGCTGCTGTCTTTGTCACACGTTGAGGATCTTATATCTCATACCACACGTGTGAACTGTTCTAATCATGCTAACGCTTTACTTAAAGTAAGGATAGGGCTCATCTGCTTGCTTGTTCTCATAGTGGGCAAGCACTCTCCTTCTGAGCTGCATTCTTAGCCCCATGTTTCTAAATTATTCAGATTTCCTAAACAGCAGTTCTCACTTAAAACTGAAGTCAGATGTGGGTCATGGGCAGTCATGAGGCCTCAGCAGGTCCTGTCTTAGTGGATTAGACTGGAAAATGCCACCTCAGCATAGCCAAAGCTTACCTGGGACATGCTCTGGAGGAGAAGAGCTGCCCAGGCAAGCAGACCTGATGGTGGGGTTTCCAGAAGGGCCAAGGGACTAACAACACTGAAGAGAAAGTCAAAAGTGATTAAATGTAAGTAAGACTTATTAAACATACATTCATTTTAAAGTATTAAAACTGTAAATAGTGTGTGCTGCACTTCATTCAGGCGTGAAAAGGTAATGTTAGGACAGCAGGTAAAGGTACTCAATGCGCACGGAACACGAGAACCAGCTCCTTCAAGCTGTTCTGGGTCCTTACCAGGTGTATTCCATACACATATACAAACAGATAAAACATTTTTTTAGAAAAAGACTGCTAGCTGTTAAGATCCTTCCTTTCTCCCTTCCTCTCTTCTTTTCTTTCTTTTTAACATACTGTGAGCATCAGAGAGTGATTTTTATGGAGCCAGGTTTTCTTTCTGTCTTTACATGGTTAGATTCTAGGGGTTGAATTTAGGTCGTGAGGCTTGAACAGCAAGAGACTTACACAGAACCATCTCATTGGCCTAAAATCTTTCATTTAATTGGATACTCTTCATATACTACAGAAAAAAAATATATGACAGTCACCCAGTTATAGTGCTTAAAACTAGGAAAATGGGTTTACTAGAAACCTAGTGGAAAATCTTTATAAAGCTAATGGGCTATTTAGGTAAAGTCACTGGCTGCCAAGCCTGAGGAGCTTTTGAGACAGCTCAGAAAGTTCCTCTGTTCACAAAATCCTCTTAGTGTGTTGTTTTCAGTTTTGTGATTTAAAGCTAACTCAGCTTTAGTGTTTGTGTCCGGGTCATCTGCTGTGTGTTGACTGAACTAATTCAGGGTACCTTGTGACTTTGGTTGCTACTTTTTCTTAGTTGAGTGCTGGATTGGGTGGTAGATCTTCATAGCCAGAGTGACTTTGTATGGTAAGAAGTGCTGGAGTGTAGTGAGCCTGAGTAAAACCAGTGAAGCAAGCCAGACACATGCAAGACTAATAATAACATGCACCATATCTTTCTATCTAAACAACATGATGTTATTCTGTTGTATAGGAATATTCTTAAACTTTAGTCCTTAAATATTGTGTGCTAAAGACAGAATGACCCAATATTTTCCTGAAAAAGTAAATAATGTTCTCTAATGCTAGGGATGTCCAGGGAAGCCTGAGGTATTCTCCCTTGCTGGAGCTTTCTAGCGAGTCAAACATCCACTCAAGAAATACGTTTGAAAAGAACCACTGTAGCCAGAGATGGTGGTATGTACCTGTAACGATAACACTGGAGAAGTGGAGTATGAGGTCAGACTAGGTGTAACGGTAAATTTTAGTTCATATGAGGCTGGCTAGCAAGATTCTCTCTTAATTGAGGAAAGAACAGGTGCGGAGAATTGACAGAAAATGAGACTACCATTGTGTTCGGAAATCTTTTGGAAGCTGTGTTGCTGCATAGCCTGCTTTCCTAGAGAGCAACAGCAACAGCAGGTGCTAGTCTAGGAATGTGGGGCTTCCCTGTAGTGCACAGCTGCACCTTGTAGGCCTTTCTTAGCCCATTACTGGTGGTTACTCTCAAACTCATTTTCTCAAGTGTTTCTGCACTGCCCAGCAGCAAAGGCACTTAGTCGGAAGGGATCTTGTTGCCAGTGTAATGCATCAGGAGCCTATAGTGTGGATCTTCATTGACGGTATTCATTCGTTTTTCTGAGAATAGAAAAGTATCAGGAACTTGAGCAGTTACGCTTGGGGTCATCCAGATGATTTACCCAAGATGTGTTTTTACTCTTAGTGAAAATAACAGTGATTAGTTAAGCCATGTGATACTAACTTTGAGTTTTGAGGAAGAGTTGAGATAGGATCTTGATACACAGTCCTAGGTAGCCTGGAGCCCACTATATTACCAGAGAGGCCTCAGACTCAGTGCAGTCCTTCTACCTCTGCTTCTCCCAAGTTCTGAAGCTTAGAGGCATGCCATCACACTTAAAGATTTGTTGGTTTAATTTTTATTACTGTGTGTGTTTGTGCATGCATGTGTGTGTGTATCAATGCACGCAGGTAGGTGTACTCATCTATGTATGTATGTAGACCAATCTTGGCCTCTTGTTTTACTAATTCATTACCTCATTTATCAACACAGAGCCTCTCACTAAACCTAAAGTAGGGGTTTTCAACCCCATGGGTCTCAACTCTTTGCGGATTAAATGACCCTTGCACAGAGGTCACCTAAGATCATTGGTATACACAGATATTTACATTTTAATTCATAACAGCAAAATTAGAATTTTGAAGTAGCAATGAAAATAATTTTATGATGGGGTCATCATAACATGAGGAACTTTTTGTTGTTGTTGGTTTTTCAAGACAGGGTTTCTCTGTAGCTTTGGAGCCTGCCCTGGAACTAGCTCTTGTTGACCAGTATATATCGCGGGCTGGCCTCAAATTATGTAGCCAAGGATGACCTTAAAGGGTGACTCTGATCCTCCTGCTTATTTCCAAAGTGCTGGTGTACACCCCTGCACCCCATTTATCCTGGGGCTGGACTCAAATCCAGAGCTTCATATATGTTAGTCAAGCACTCTGCCAACTGAACGCATTCTGGGCTGAAAAAGTCGTAACAGGATGACCTTAGAGTTTGGAGATGTCTTGTATGACTGGGTATGCAGCACGTGACCAGCCTTGTTCAGAACGTTTGTGCTTAGAAGGGTCAAGATATTTCTGAGCTTCCTGGGATTCCACAGCCTAGGGTTTTGGTGGAAATAGAGGACTTCTGGATCCCCTTTGTCCTTTTAAGGCTCATGATGACTGCCATAGCTTTAAAGTTGTAGTTTTCCAGAGTGCCCCAGTCCTTTTCCTGAAGAAATTATTCCTGGTTTCTCCGTGTGGTAGCTATTCTGGATGTCTAGCATTTCGTTCTTGGTTTCTGAGAGATGCAATCTTTTCATGATGAGAAAGGCTAGTGTTATCTGTGTTATTTTAAATGATTTTATTTTTCTGGAGACTGGGTCTCTAGTACAGGTTGGCATTGAACTTAAGGTCTTTCTTCAGCCACCTAAGTAGTGGAATGCACCAGCACTACTGGCACTAACAGTTTATGATGTTTCAGTCCAGTGGTGTGTATTAGACATTGTTGTACAGGCAAAAAAGATTGTTTTTAATGCAGTTCTACATATGACTTTAAAAGTTTTGATGAATGCTGCAGGAAAGTTCTGTTTTATGAGACCATAGCTCTGAAGTTTTCAATTTCTTTGTTGTTTTTTTCCCCTTTCTTTTTTTTTAAGTTTTTTTTCCCCAAGACTGGGGTGTCTATGTAGCCTTGGCTATTCTGAAACTGACTTTGTAGACCAGCTTGGCCTGGAACTCACAGAGATCCGACGGCCTCTGCCTCCCAAGTGCTGGGATTAAAAGCGTGCACCACCATACCCAGTGTTTTACTTGCTTTATAAGTTACTCAAAAGTGATTCCCCCCCCAAAAAATTTATTTATTTGTGTGTTTGTTTATTGTGTATACATTGTTCTGCCCGCGTGTCTGCCTGCAGGCTGGAAGAGGGCACCAGCTTTCATTATGGATGAGCCACGTATATGGTTGCTAGGGATTGAACTCATGACCTGGGAGAGCAGTTAGTGCTCTTAACTGTGAATTTTCAGTCAGCCAGTGTTACTGTAGCTTATTTATTTTGTGCCGTGTTTCTGTTGCAGAGCTTGAATTCTGAAGTGAGGAGAGCACTGAGACCTGAAGATGAGTGAACTTGACCAGCTGCGGCAGGAGGCCGAGCAACTGAAGAACCAGATCAGAGTAAGTAGCAGTGCGTGTCTGTTTCAGATCAGAAGTTTCCTGTTATGGATGACTCCATACAGTGCTCCAGAATGACTGTTGAAATGTATACAACAGCTCTTGGGCCACCAGAGACAACAGACTTATCTACCTGCGTACAAAACTAAATGAAAGATAAATTTCAGCTGGGTGGTGGTGCACACCTTTCATTCCGGCACTTGGGAGGCAGAGGCAGGCAGGTGTCTGTGAATTTGAGGTCAGACTGGTCTACATAGAGAAATCTTCTCTCAGAAAAAAAAATGAAGGGGAAAGATAAATTTCACTGTAATCTGATTCTTTTGAGGTGGTGCTAGAGGTAGAACTGAGAGCCCTTATGCATACCAGGTGAATGTGGGTTTAATAGTTTAGGGGTTTGTATTTTATTTTTTTTGTTACTTGAGACAAGGTTTCTCTTTTCACTATGTAACTTCCTGGAACTCAAAATGTAGATCAGGCCGACTGAACAATTAAAGTATATGTTTTCTTTCTTAGACTTTGTCTAAAGAGCTAGGCAAAAAGACTTAAGATTTACTAGGAAAAACCCAGTTTTCATTCTGTTTAGGGCTTTGGGTATTTGAAATAACTGTGTCTGATTTTCATGGTCTCATCTAAAGACACAGCAATCCTCAGAATCTCAGTAAGTGTTGACAACAGTCAGTGTCTGCCTGTTGTTGAACAGACACATTTCCTTTACTTTTTTACTTTGTCAGTTTGTGCAGGCTGCCAGGGGGACTGTATGGAGAATCTTCAGCACCGTTTTAGCTAAACACCCCCAACACCCCCCCCCCCCCCCCCCCCCCCCCCCCCCCCGGGTCATCGTTGTTGTTTGAGATCGTTGTTGTTTGAGACAGGGTTTCTCGGTTTCTCTGTTTAACAGCCCTGGCTGTCCTGGAACTCCTTTGTAGACAAGTCAGGCCTTCAACTCGTAGAGATCTGTTTGCTTTTGCCTCCCAAGTGCTAGAATGAAAGGCGTGTGCCACCACTGTCCAACTTCGATTTTTTTTTTTTCTTTTTTTGGATTTTTCGAGACAGGGTTTCTCTGTGGCTTTGGAGCTTGTCCTGGAACTAGCTCTTGTAGACAAGGCTGGCCTCAAACTCACAGAGATCCACCTGCCTCTGCCTCCCGAGTGCTGGGATTAAAAGCGTGCGCCACCACTGCCCGGCCTTGGTTCCCAGTTTCTATCTTTAATGGAGATCAGAATGGGTTTGAGGCATTTGCATAGATCATATGCTTTTGAGATTTTTTTTTATCTTTTCTTTGTCTCAGAAGTTCTGAAAGCTGAGAATATAAATATTAAAATTCTGAGGGACAAAGGAGTTGTGTTGAGTAACTAGCTGAAATTATTTTTCAAGTCTATCTTGAAGATAGTCCTAAACTATACTATGATTTAAGTTTTGCTTTTTTGAGACAGGTTCTTACTATGTAACTCTGGCTATTCTGAAAATCACTATGTAGACCAGGCTGGCCTCAAAGTCACAGATTTATCTGCCTCTGCCTCCCAAGTGCAGGCAACTAAAGGTATTTGCCACTGTGTTGGGCTTGTATTTGGACTTTTTAAGGGGGGAACAGGGTAGAGATAGCTATTATTTTTTTTTTTAATGTTAGGCTGGCATGGAAGTCAACTATGTGGCAGAGGGTAAATTTAGAGAAAGGATAAGAAAGCCCAGGTGTTGGGGAAAACATGCTTAGAACAAAGGTGAAAAAGAGAAAAGCGAGCGGTTTACAGTGCTGCATAGTTATAGCCACGTAGTGCCTCGTGGCGCCTCGTGTTTTCACTCCTCTCACGTGTGTAGTCCTTAGTGCCCTCCTTTCTACACCTACACAGTTAGTGTCCCTGTGTACAGCAGTCAAGAGGTAGAAAGAAGCAGGAGGATCAGGAGTTCAAGGCCATTCTCAGTTATGCGTGACATTTGAGACCAAGTAGGCAATACAAGGCCCTGTCCCACAGGAAAACATAAAAAGCAGGTAAAAACAATTTCAACAAGTTTGATCTAGTTCCATCTAGCTAAGCACAAGTATCATTGCGGCCAGTACTTTACAGTGCTTTCACGTGAGTTTTGTTTTGCTCGTAAAGTTCAGCGCCTCACTCTCAGGGCATCCTTTAGTTCACACTCACTGTGTTTAACGTGCACAGAGTAGCTCCTGGCACAAGACCTCCATTGTGGACAGCACCGGTTTTGACCATTCCTAGTAAAGACACTCTGCTTCAGCCCTCAGAATGAGTGTCATTCTCACAAATGGCTACATTGGATTTGGACCTTGCCTCTCAACACCGGGCTACTTTTACGATGAATTGGTGAGGAGAGGTGAAGACCATTGAGTCTCCAAATGGGAAGGGAGTGCCTTTTCTGTTGTTTGTTTTTGAGACAGAGTCTCACTGTCTCTTTCTAGGAAGTGTTGTTTGTTCTTAGATTGTTTTTCATGTGAAACACCCTCTGTGGTGGTCTGAAAGAAAATGACCCCCAAAGAGAGTGGCATTACTAAGAGGTGTGGCCTTGTTGGAGGAAGTGTCACTGTGAGGTGGACTTTGAGGTCTGCTGTGCTCAAGCCACTCCCAATGGCACAGTTCACTTTCTGTTGCCTGCAGATAAAGATGTAGAGGTAGTCAACACCATGTCTGTGTGCACACGTTCCTGGTCCCCACCGAGATGCTAATGAACTGACCTGGAACTAAGCTGCTACTGCAATTAAAAGTTTTCCTTTATAAGAATTGCTGTGAGCCGGGCGGTGGTGGCGCAGGCCTTTAATCCCAGCACTCGGGAGGCAGAGACAGGCAGATCTTTGGGAGTTCGAGGCCAGCCTGGTCTACAAGAGCTAGTTCTGGGATGGTCACCAAAGCTACAGAGAAACCCTGTCTCGAAAAACCACCAAAAAAAAAAAAAAAAAAAAAGAATTGCTGTGGTCATGATGCTTGCTGGCCAGAAGAGGGCATCAGTTCTCATTACAGATGGCTGGGAGCAACCATGTGGTTGCTGGGAATTGAACTCAGGACCTCTGGAAGAGCAATCAGTGCTCTTAACATCTGGGCCATCTCTCCAGCCCCTATTTTTTAGTCTTTCAACCCAAGGCTATACATTATATCAACAAGCATGGTTTTTGAAAGTATTAGACTTATTGGCATGAAAAACACTTGAGAGTGACTAGCTATTTTAAGCCCTTTCTGTGCACTTAATCCATTTTTTTTATGTAATAATACTTGGTTATATAATTGTGTTTAGATTGCAAGCAGAATCATTAGGACGGACTTGGAACCTAGAAGTCTGTCCATACAGTAATGGCCATTTCAGTGTGTTTGCCATGCCATCCTAATAAATTAAAGTCCTGCGCAGTCATCAGGTTCTTAGTCAAGGTTATCAGTTCCTTTGACTTTTGCCTGTATTTAAATTTTGACCTTTTAAAAGTAGGGTTGTCTCATTTTTCTTCATAATGAATATCTCTGTATTTATATGTATGTGGTATTTTGAGATTTCAAGGCTTATTTCATTTATTAGTGAAAACATAGTAAAAAAATTAAAGAAAAATCTACTGTGGTATTTCTTTTGTAGGTCTTTGCTGCATTGGTAGGTTTTATAGATAGCAAAGATTGCCTACTACTATTTTGTTATCAATCTCCTTAGAATTTTTTTTTTTTGTGTGTTGTTTTTCTCAAGACAGGGTTTCTCTGTGTGGTCTACTGGCTTTGTAGACCAGGCTGGCCTCAAACTCATAAAGATATGCCTGCCTCTTCCTCCCAAGTTCTGGGATTAAAGGTGTGCACCACCACCGTCCTGCCAAGTCTCTTTAGAATTTTACTAACAGTTCTAGATCCCTTATTCTTCTCATAGAACTTAAATTTAATCATTATTTGGCTTGAAAATAAAGTCCTTGGATATGCATTCTCAAAAGAGAAGGTTTTTGGCCTGGATAGCTAACTGGTCTTCAGCCTGTTTCTTTCCTTGCAACTCCTCCTGCTCTCACAGAGGCCGTGGGAAAGACAGAGCAGGTGTATGTGGGCTGCCTGTAGTTCCAGTGACCCCAGAGTTCTGTGGAGTCTGCATGTCTTATGCAGGGTCAGAGATTGTGAATCATTTCTGCTGTGACCTGAACAAAAAGAATGCTTCATCATGCATACTGTGCTTTTGCTCCTGAAATCATGGTAGGGAAAGTCAGTCCTGAGGTTGAAAGTGAAATATAACTAATTCCTATCTGTTATTTCATAGGATGCTCGTAAAGCTTGTGCTGATGCGACTCTTTCTCAGGTAAGAAACACTTCCAGCTGTCATTCATTTGTAATGCAGTCTAGTGTGGGCTGTTACCTTCATGTTGAACTTCTGTCCTGTGGGGTGAGGATGTAAAACCACTATCAAGACTTCATTTGGAAGTTGGTTCTGATGGTAGATAGGAAGTGAGGACCAATGGATGTTCTTTAAATGAAAATGCCAGACTCGTGTCCGGAAGAATCAAACTGATTGTAAAGCATGTACAGGGCTGATGGATGACGCCATGGGTAACGTGTACCTCCCACCAATTCAACACTGAGTTCAGTCCCTAGGGCTTTGCAAACATGTGCTGCTCCTCTATCCCAATAAATAAAGATTCATTTTAAAAGTTATTGAAAATACATGTGATCGTCAGCTCTTGCTGTGGTATAGTTCTGTTGCTGTGGTGAAGCGCTTTGGCTAAAAGTAACCTGCGGATGAAAGATTTATTTTGATTTAGACCTGCTTCTAGGTCATAATTCACCATTGAGTAAAGTCAGGGCAGGAAACATAGGAGGAGCATTGTTTACTCCTCACTTCCTGAACAGCCAAGGATCATCTGCTTAGAGGTGGTATTGCTCACAATGGTCTGGACCCTGCACATCCGTTGATAGTCCAGACAGTACCCCACAGGGGATTTTTTAACTGGGTGATTCTAGGTTGTGTCAGGTTGACAATGGAAAGTTACTAGCACAGTAAACACACGTCCACCTTCTCTTGGGGATTTGATGCCTGGCCCTCAGACCTCATAGACACAGTTTTGTTTTGTTTTTTTTAAGTGAATATCCATGACGGTGAAAGTATGGTTTGTATATTAGCTAAAGATGGCGATAACTCATAATTGAATGAAGCAATATTAAAATTATGACTTTTCTATAGTAGTCACATGGGGTATACACTTATGATCTTAAAATATCTTACTGTTTGTAGTGAAATGATATGGGATACCACAGTGCCTGCCCACTGGGTAAAGTGGTGAGTAGCATAGGCACCGTGGCGCGTAAGTGTTTGATTGCTGCAGTATATCGCTAATAGACATGCGGTATGTTTAAGGGGCTTCACACAGCAGGTACTGCAGGATGGACAGTTTAATTGTGCTACTTAAGAGCAGGTGCAATCTAAAGTGTATAAATTGGCTTTTGGAGAGATGGCTCAGCAGTTAAAAGTATTTGCCACTCTTCTAGAGGACCTGTATTCTGCTTCTAGCACCCCCACAGTGGCTCACGACTATCAGTAATTCTGACCTCCTAGGGCTCCTGCATGCACTTGGTACACACAAATATTCAGGGACACACCATACACATAAAATATTCTTTTAAGTAAATACAGGATTTTCCATTCAATATTTTTGATTCTCAGTTGATATTCTATACTGGAACACAAGTGGAGAGTCTATTTGCTAAAGTTAATCTGTACTAATTTTATTTTTTAAGATCACAAACAACATTGATCCGGTGGGAAGAATCCAAATGCGAACCAGAAGAACGCTGAGGGGTCATCTGGCTAAGATTTATGCCATGCACTGGGGCACAGACTCAAGGTATGAACTGGCCCTTCCCAAGCAGTGCTTGAAATGTTAGCTCACTGCTAGGATTTCTAAAATACAGTGATTAGAAAGTTGAGCTGGTGTGGGCGTAGTGGCACACACTTTTAATCCCAATATTCAGGAGGCAAAAGTAGGCTAGTCAAGGCTGCATAGTGAGAGAAGGTGAGTTAGAAAACTTGTTCCATCCACTGCCTACAGCCAGGTCTGGTGTTGACCGGTTCTCTGTTCAGATCTCCGTTTAACTGGCTTATTGCACCACTGTCCTTCTCATGCCAGCACCAGCTTTCACCTCATCTTTTAGATTCTGAATCACAGTTTCCCCAGCTACTCTGTTGGCTGAGTTGTAATGCAAGAATTGGATGATGAAGAAAAAGATACTAAGTTTCCAGCTGCAGACTGGTCCCAAAAGCTAAATGTGGGCTTCAATGGTCTTTTCATCCTCACTGGGAAGCTGTATGGAATATAAATTAATGGCTGTTTTTATCCTCCTACATGGTCCTACCTTCTACTTATTTATCTTTTATAGTTTATAACTACCATTTATTGGACTTCTGTGTCTCTTGTCATCTTTTTACACTGATAATGAAACATAGTACAACATGGTTTGTGTGGCTATAGCAAGCCCTTCCAGACCCAACAGAACCTTAGCACACACCCCCTTCGGTCTTTTTTTTCCCCCCCTTTCTTTTTTCTTTTTCTGCTTGTTTTTTTCTTTGTTTCTGAAATGATCTGCTGTAGGGTGTAAACAGCTGGAGAACAAACAATTCTATCTTTAGTTCTCCACAGGGTCCCCGTACAATTGCTGTGCAAATGAGTGCTTTACGTGACCATTTAATGATGGAAGCAGTCTCATCAGAAAAGAAAAAGGGGGTGGGGTATTGCTCTCTTCTCAGAGGGTTCTACTTCAGAGATCATGTATGCATTGTGTTGGTGCTGTCAAAATTAAGAGTAGATTTATCCATCGAACCTAGAGTCTAGGCAATTGGTGTACCACTAAAATACATGTCCAGGCCAAGAATAGATTTTTGTTTTGTTTTGTTTTTCGAGGCGGGTCTTGTCCATGAAACAGCCATGGCTGTCCAGGAACTCGCTCTGTAGACCAGGTTAGCCTCACAAACTCAAGAGATCCCCCTGCTTTGCCTCCTGAGTGCTGGTATAGACCTTCAATGTTCACACTGCAAAATGGTTCTAAACAGGTGAGGTAACAGCTGTGTTAATTCACTTCATTCAATCATTCTGTAATGTAAACATTAGGCAATTTATATAGTCCATAATTGTCAATTAAAAATAAAGGTCATTCAAAATAAATAAGTAAAATTAGAAAATTACTAAATTCAAAGTTACCTTTTAATGATTTATAAAATTAAGTATGAAAATGAAAGAAAATATTCCTACTGATCAATTCATCTGAGAATGCATTATCAAAGGTAAGTGGTAATAGACAGATTGTAATCTCTGCTTTTCTTCCATACGCGAGAACATTGCAATAGCTTTGCTTTGGTCAGTAGCCCAGGGCCCTAGACTGGCAATCTCGGCAGTTAAACTCTCACTGGGGTGTTGGGAAGGTGTGCTTCGTGCAGGTGTGTTCGGAGACCTATGGATAAGTGTGTGACCTGAGCAGTAAAGGGCAGTTAGCATGAGATGAAGCCTGATATTCCATTCCATCTAATCTTAAGCATGAGTTTGTCTTGAAAACCATGGGTCAGAAGGAAGGTGTGTGTATCAGTGGGACCCCAGATTTAAGGCCATGATATTCTTGTGAACAGGGAAGGCTCATGGGTGGTTTTTAGTCTGTTCTCTTTCTTGGGTGGTATAGAGGGAGTATGACATGTTTTTTTTCTTTGAACTAGACAACATAACCCTAAGACTCTCAACAGACCAGTCAACAAAGTAGAGCTGTTACTTGCCTAGCATGTACTAGGCCCTGGGATATTGCTAGTATTGGGTAGCTGGGAGGGGGCCGGGGGGGGGGGGGGGGGGGGGGGGGGGGGGGGGGGTGTGTGTGTGCATGCCTATAACCCCAGAACTCAGGAGGTACAGGCAGGGGGATCACAGAAGCTCAAGATCAGTCTCAGCTACATAGCAAGTTCTGGGCCAGCTTGGGCTACATGAAATCCTGTCTCAAAAAGCAAATAAAACTTTCAGGTGACCATTCTTTCTGGCTAGTCAGTGGTTGCATCTTATAATCCAAAGTAGCTCTTTAGGGAGATGTTCTGGTTATGTATTTCCCCTCCCCTTTACATAATCTTTATATTTTTGCCTTCATAGTAAAAGGTTATTGAGCTGGGTGTAATGGTAAACGCTTTTGAGTTCTTCATGCATGAGTACTTCAGGAGTAGAGACAGGTAGATCTCTGTGAGTTCAAGGGCAACATGGTCTACATAGGGAGTTTCAGACTATCTAGGACTACATATTAGAACTATATCAAAACGGAAAGAAAAAGTTGTTATAATTTTTTTTTATATATAACTCAAAGCTGCAGTTCATGACTGTCCTTGTTCATTGTGGTAACTGGCAATTTGATTTTGTGCCTGTGTGGACTGGGAAGTTGTCTGAGTAGCTAAGAATTCTTAGAGAACAAGCTTGCAGACCTGAATTTACATTGCTAGCAATACATGGAAAAGTTGGTCCTGGCCAGACCAACCCTTAACCCCAGTGCTGTAGTGGGGTGGAGTTAGAATGCTTGACCCTACCTGGAAAAAAAAACATTCCAGGTTCAGTGAGAAATTCTTCTTTAAAGAAAGGAATTTTTCAGAGAATGAACGAGCAGGACAAACAACCTCTTCCTTTCACTTCTGAGTAGGGATACACATTGTGTGTATGTGTGTGTGTGTGTGTGTGTGTATGTATGTATGTATGTGTATAACTTGTAATATTCGCAATGTTTTCCCAGTCCTGTGAGGTTTTTATCTCTCCGTCCCAAAGCCTGGTGAAGTCTCTTTGGTTGGGTCCTTCTGTGATTGCCACTTTCTGTTCCAGGCAGCAATTTAACTGGTTCCCAATTTCTTTTCTTTTCTTTTTTTCCCCCCGAGGCAGGTTTCTCTGTATCTTTGGAGCCTGTCCTGGAACTCGCTCTTGTAGACCAGGCTGGCCTCAAACTCACAGAGATCCGCCTGCCTCTGCCTCCCGAGTGCTGGGATTAAAGGCTTGCGCCCTCACTGCCCGGCCTTGGTTCCCAATTTCTATCTCTGCTGGAGATCAGAATGGGAAAGATTTCAGGTAGCACAGTGAATTGTGTTGGTCCCTCTAAGTTACGTGACCTGAGATTAGAATGTGTGTCTTCTTTCACCTTCTGGAGGATCAGCTGACAGCTTAGTATAGTCTTAATTCCTCACTGAATCAGCAATTACTGAGCTCTCTGAAGGTGACCCCTTAACTCGGAGGATGAGTTACTATAGATGTCTCTTAATACCCTTGCTCAGAGCCTCAATAAGACCAGGCAGAAATAGAGTGGCTGAGGGCCCTTACATTGTCCTGTAGAGATAGTTGAAATCACCTTAGTTAGGTATGGTGACCAAACATGGGTAGAGGAGGTGGACGGACTTAAAGCCCATAAAAGGGGAGCTTGAGCAGCTTTCAGCCTTGGCTACACAGTATCCTATCTCTACAAAAGTAAAAGAGTCATCTGAAGAGTAAGAGATACCTTAGTAGTCAAGAATTTCCCTTGTATGCTCAAGGCTCCAGGGTTCAGTCCTTAGCACCTCATAAAAAATTGTGCCAGAGGCTAAGGTGCAGTTCATTGGAGAAGCACAGTTTACTGTGCAGGACACCTTGTGTTAAATTTCTACAACTAAAAAGAAAAAGTTGTAACTAAAAAACAACAGGCTTCGTTCTGTGCCCAGTTTAGTTCTGTGATAAATTCTGTGACAGAGGATTGGAAAGGGTTTTATACCTTGTCACATGTGTTGTTCTTTTTAAAGGAGGTTTATTCATCAAAATATGGCTTGGCGGGGTCTGATAGATCATACACAGCTTTAATGTAAGTACTTTAGGAGCAGACAACTGGATTCTTTAAGTTCGAGGTCAACCTGGTCTACATAGTAAGTTCTAGGACAGTTAGAGCTATATTATAGAGAGATAAATAAATCTGTAAACATGGTTTGATTAAAAGGACTCAGAATGAAGTGGCTGGCTGAGTTTTACCTCAAGTCTTTTTGATCTGCTTCAAAAATCCAAATATACCCTAATATACTTTGTAGCTGAAATGTCTAGAATATAAATAAGTGTTTTGATTAAATATGTCACTATCATATTGAAAAGTATCTCTGGACCTGGAAGAACCTCTTGCTTTTCCTTGAAACAAAACAGCAGATTCTCCTGGAACATGTGCCTGAGTAGCATGGTGTCCAGAATTCCTCTCACCCAGATTGCTTTTTAGTAACTTAGATTTCTTTGCCTGCTAGTCTTGTTTTCTTTTTACAGTATCCTTTCTTAATTCTGCAAATACAGAAAGCAACAGATTCCAAGCTTAGCACAGCTGCCCCGAAGCAGGATTGAGTTACAAGCAATTCATAATTCATGATAGTTGGTGGTCTCTTTTGCCTGACCATGTACAATTCTGTCATTTGTCATCTTTACTACCATGAAGGTGGAGACTCCTTAGTTTTATGGAGACTAGCATTTTGGTTTGATCTCAGTCTGGGAAGTTCTGTGGTGTTGTTTTTTTCCTTGGCTTTTGGGTATAGAATCTGGGCCTCAAGCTTGTTATACAGTCAAACTTGGCCTTGAACTCTCAGTCAAGGTGTCTCCACTTCCCACAATCTTGGATTAAACGTACACTACCATTCCAGTTCATGGGGTGTGTTCAGGTTCGCTTTTTGTTTTGTTTTTTTCAAGACAAGTTTTCTCTGTGTAGCCCTGGCTATCTCAGAGCTCACTCTGTAGACCAGGCTGGCCTCAAACTCACAGAGATCCACCTGCCTCTGCCTCGCAAGTGCTGGATTAAAGGTGTGAGCCACCACCCCCTGGCTCAGTTTGCTTTCTAGTGGTACAAGCAAGCAAAAGCAATTTGGGGAAGAGTTTATTTCATTTTGTAATTTTAGTTCATCGTGTGAAAGAAAGTCAGAGCAGAAAACTGAAGTCAAGAACTGAAGCAGAGGCCACAAAGGACTTAGTTCGCCTCCCCCAGAACCACTGCCCAAGGATGGCACCGCCCACATCAGTTATTAACAGGAAAATGCCCCCTAGGCTTACCTATAGACCTATATGGTGGAAGCATTTTTTTCAGTTGATGACTCTAGAGTGTGTCAACCCACAAAAAGAAAAAAGAATAAAAACAGGACAGAATGTTTAAAATGGTTCCTGAGTAGGGAGTGTTTCAAACTTTTCCCATAATATCCATAATATTCAGGTTTTCTTTGTATCAGATGGAACAAAACTGTATCCTAAATATTTGGTACTATTTAGGGCTCTGGACCGATCTGTGTATCTAATTTAGCTTGGAATTAAAAAGAAACCTTGCAGAATTAAGAGTAGAGATCAGTACCACCTCTCAGGTGATAAGGGAAAAACTGGTAGTCTGACCAGCCAGATGTTTCTAGGGCTGAACTGTTATCTGAGAATTATGGTGTCACATTGGTCAAACATTTATATCCTCCTTTTCTCAGTAAGTGTATTTGGTCTTAAGCAAATTCAGGTTTAGAGCTCTAGTTGGATGTCACCAAGATTTGTTTGTTTCCTTTCTCTTTCTCCAGGCTCCTTGTCAGCGCCTCTCAGGATGGAAAACTCATCATCTGGGACAGCTACACCACAAACAAGGTAGACAACTCTTCCCTGGAACACGAACAGTCTGTTCCTGCCAACTCAGAAGTTTTTTTAGTGAGGATGTCCTGAGGGTGGTGGAGGAGTTCATGGTGGTCCCATGCTTGATGCACAGCTGTGCCTTGGTTGTCTTAGCATGGAGATAGGAGCTGGGTGCTTCCTTGTGTGTATAGATGAGCTGCATTCCAGTTTTGGTTCAGACGTTTCCTGACTTCTAGAATACTGAAAAGTAGATTTCATTTAATTAGTTTCGTTTGTTAAACAAGAAGTAATCTCAAACGCTGTACTACCACCAATGTACATAAAATAATAAAAATAGATAAAATTTGCCAGGTGGAGGTGGCACACGTCTTTAATCCCAGCACTTAGGAGGCAGAGGCAGGTGGATCTCGGTGAGTTCAAGGCCTACTTGGTTGACAAAGTGAGTTCCAGGACAGCCAGTGCTGTTACACAGAGAAACCCTGCCTTAAAAAAACAAAACATTTTAGTTGAGGATTGGGAATGTTGCTCAGTGGTAGAGTACTTGCCTGTCTAACATAATTCCCTGGGTTTGTTTCCCAGAATCACAAAAAATAAGAACAAAATGTAACCCGGCACACTGGGTAAGAGTGTGATTCTAGTTACTAAGGAGGCCAAGGTAGGAGGCCAAAATATAGACCCACCCTGGGTAATTTAGCAGGATACCACCAAAAAGGTGGGGGGGGGGGAGAGAAAGAGAAGGCACAGGTACTAGGTAGAATGTTTGCCTGATAGGTACAAATCTCTAAGATTAAATCTTTACTTCTCTGATATTAAAATAAATTATACTGGGTATGGTGGTGTATGCTTGTGATTTAGCATTTGAGAAATGAAGACAGGAAGATCACATATTAAATATTATCCTTATCTACATAGTAAAGTTGAAGCAAGCCTGAACTACATGAGACCTCCGCCTTAACTTGCACTCCTCTTTAATTCCAGTACTCATGAGGCAGAGGCAGGAGGATCTCTGTGAGTTTGATGCCAGCCTGGTCTACAGAGGGAATTCAGAGAAACCCTGTCTCAAAAAAAAAAAAAAAAAAAAAAACAAAACAAACAAAAATATTATAAACCGAAGAACAGAACTCACTTAATTGCTGAATGGGTGTAGTGGCCAGTCTGTAATTTCAGCATTTGGAAGACAAACAAGGAATCCCCAAAGCAAGCTGGTTAGTATTAGTCATATAGATGCACTATAGATACAATTGTGAGACCCTGTCTCAAAAATAGGTAGACAGTGGGTAGGGAAGAGTTCCAGCATTAGCCTTAGCCCTCCATATCCACCTGTACTGGCCCACACACACATACACACACTTTTAAAAATATGTGCTGGGGCTGGAGAGATGGCTCAGTGGTTAAGGCCACTGGGTGCTCTTCCAGAAGACCTGAGTTTGATTCTCAGCGCCTCACAACCATCTGTAACTCCAGTTCAAAGGGGAATGCAATGCCATCTTCTGGCCTTACCAGGCACTGCACTTGCATGGTTAACATGTTTAAACAAATGCTCACACACATAAATTATTCAAAAATAATTGAATGCTATCTTCAGTCCTGGTAAGGTAAATAATCTAAAACTGTTGTGTTTTCCTAAGAAATACTAGATACACAGAAGAAATTGTTGGAATTCCAACAGCTCTATCTAAACAGCAAGATTAATTATGATGCCAGTGTACAGCTTGACGCGCTCTGTGTGTGTGAGAGAGAGAACAGGGATGATGAGTATGTCGTGTCCTAAGCTCACTTCTATTTGCGGTTATCTTCCTGCCTCAGCCTCTTTAAGTGCTGGGATTAACATACATCACTATGATTGGCTTTTTTCTTTTTTCTGTGTTTTCTTTTTTAACTCATGGCCATTTTGATAGAATTAAAGGGAGAACTAAGTGCTGGACAGTGGTGGCACATGCCTTTAATCCCAACACTTGGGACCCAGAGGCAGGAGATTTTGTGAGTTCCAGGACAGCCAGGAGTTACTCAAAGAAACCCTGTCTCGAGAAACTAAAAAAGGGTGTATGTGGGAGGGGGGGCTAAGTAATTCCTTAAAAAAAAAAATGTTCCATAATGACATCCTTCCTTCCTTAAATCATTAAAAATAGGAATATGATTTCCATTTTTCATTGAGATGGTCTCTTACTGTATGTACCCTCAAGCTTGTCATCAGGGCTGGTGACGAAGAGCACTTGACTAGTAGACAAGGCCGCTTTCAATCCGCAGAACCAATAAAAGAAACAAACATAAGACCCTGCTCTTCCTCCCTTGCCTTTCGTGTGCGTGCTAGACTCACTGGTGTAGGCCATCACACCCATCCACTAGTTAATTTTTTAGTTCTATTTTATTTTTTGAGAAAGTCTCACTGTGTAGTTATAGCTGGCCTGGAACTCAGTATGTAGACCAGGCTGACCTCAAACTCAGAGCTCCATCTACTTTACCTCTTTATGCTGGGATTAAAGACGCCACACCCAGCTGTCTTTAAAGTTACATTACCTGGACTTAATAGTGCTACCTGTCTGTGTTCTTGTTCCTTAGGTCCATGCCATCCCTCTGCGCTCTTCCTGGGTTATGACCTGTGCATACGCTCCTTCTGGGAATTACGTGGCTTGTGGGGGCCTGGATAACATCTGCTCCATTTACAATCTGAAAACCCGTGAAGGGAATGTGCGTGTGAGTCGTGAGCTGGCGGGACACACAGGTACACATCTCATCTCAACTTTCCAGTAACATGTTCCTTTGATTTGTTGATCATGGTTCAAGTAAAAGTTATGCTAAGGGCCAGAAATTTTCTAAAAGTGAAGCCAAACCAGACTTAACCTGTAAGAAACCTGTAGATTGGGTACTAAAGCTGGTTTCTGAACTCCCAGCTACTGTGTTCTCTTCAAACAGTTGCGACCACCATTCTTGTCTATCAGCACGGGCAGTCCCTCCGTCCTCCTGTGCTCATGCGCACAGCCTCCCTGCCGTGAACCGACGGGTGCTCCTTCAGAGGAGACAGAAGAGGAGAGGGTCGGCATCAAAATGTTGGGTGCAGACTGTTTGCCCAGAATTAGTTCACATTGCATTCAGAACACATTGCATTAGCAAAGAAGAAGCCCCGTCATAGTTTGTTTTTCTGTGGCTATTTCTGTCCTCAAAAGTCCTGTTCCTCCGTGTGTTACAGACAGTGCACCACCAGGATCCTAGTCACCACCTGGCGAGACGTTACAATCTTCTACATTTGTATTTTCTATGAATTGATGAGGAAAGGTGTTAAAATAATTATGGGAGTACTTACTCCTTTTAATTTGGTCTTTCTTTTAAACATAGTGTTTTATGTATATTTGATCATTTGTTGTATCTTCCTAAATCATTGGTACGTTTGTTATGATCAGTGCCCACTCTCATATAATACTCTATGAATCCACTTTGTTTTTGTTTTTCTTTTTTTCTTGTTGATTATTTTTCTAGTAAATTGTCTTTTACACAGCTTGGTTTTTTTTTTTTTGTTTGTTTGTTTGTTTTGTTTTGTTTTGTTTCTTTGGAGACAGGGTTTCTCTATTGCTTTTGGAGCCTGTCCTGGAACTAGCTCTTGTAGACCAGGCTAACCTTGAACTTACAGAGATCCACCTTCCTCTGCCTCCTGAATGCTGGGATTAAAAGTATGCGCCGCCACTGCCCGTGTCTTGGTTTTAATTCCTCTGCATCCTTTTCCTTCTGTCCCCTTAGTCCTGTAATCACAAGTGTGCACTGCCAGTCTGGTATAGGGTTCTGTTTAAAGAGTTGCATAGTCGACTCACATTCACTCAGCACGGCATCAGCTCTGCTACTGTGCATTCCTCCCTGAGCATGGCTTATTGTGCTCATATCCTTGGGAAAATGCTTCATATTCCTTCGTTTCATATTCCTTCGTGGAGCCTAAACTGTGAATTTAGATCCAAGAAGAGATTAACAACAGTAACTTTAAGAAGATAGCACAGGGCTGGAGAGATGGCTCAGAGGTTAAGGACACTGACTGTTCTTCCTGAGGTCCTGAGTTCAATTCCCAGCAACCACATGGTGGCTCACAACCATCTACAATGAGATATGGTGTCCTCTTCTGACATGGAGGCGGAACACTGTATTGTATATGTCACTGTATTGTATATGTAATAAATAAAATCTTAAAAAAAAGATAGCACAATTACAGCAATACAATGTAATGAATACTATTTGAGATTTAATTTTTTTTTTTTTTTTTGGTCTAATGACACTGGAGAGTAAATTTAAATTTGTTGTTGTCTCTGGAATTTTCTGAGCAATATTTTCAGCCTAGGTTTCCGTTGGTTAACTGAAACCAGGTGAGGTTGCAGTGGTTAGGGTAGGCTCTTGGTGAGAAGTCTTCATTTTTTGAAAAGATCTGTTTGCCCTTTGTTCTACATTTAAATGTTTTTTATTGTGTTTATGTGCATGGGGCAAGGGGGGCACCGTGCACATGGAAATCCAGGATAATTCTATGGAGTCAGTTCTCTCCTATCTCTACGTGAGTCCTGAAGACCAAACTTTACCCACTGATGTACTTGTGACCTGTGTGTGTTCATGCACGTGTGGAATTAAGAGGACAACTAGTGGGAAGTTGATTCTTTCCCATTATGTAGATCCTGCAACTCGAGCTCCTGCGCTCGCTGACTCATCTTGCTGGCCCTTGACTTTTATTCCTGAAGGATATGTTTGCTGGACATAGAGAATTCTGGGGTGACCTTGAACTCATTTTTTGTGGGTGGTTTTGCCTGCGTGAATGTTGGTGCCCACCAAAGCCAGAAAGAGGGTGTTTGATCTCTCCTGGAACTGGAGTTACAGATAGTTATGAGCCGTTGTGTTGGGGCTAGGATTTGAACTTGAGTCCCCTGGAAAATTAGCCATTGCTCTTGACCACTGAGTCTTTTTTCTGCCTTCAACATTAAAACCGAAACAAAAAAAAAAAAACGCATTAAAGGTATAATTTTGTTTTTAAGCAGGTTGATTGTGATGTGCCTGGATATGTGGCATTCATTGTGTTTTGGCTTTTGATACCCATAAATTTTGTTTTTTGCTAAATTGGTAGAATTTGAGCCATGTCTTTATTTTCCTGGTGTCTATGGCTTTAAGGCGTAACTTTCTTATGTTTCCATTTCCTCCTGTGTTTTGTTTCTAGTCAGGTAAGTTCAGTTGGCTTGGTCATCAATAATAGACAACAGCTGTGCTTCCTGTCAGCCTAGTAATGGCCAGCATCTGAGGGAACTCACCTGAGAGTAGATGCAAGACTGTAAACCATGCTGGTGAGGCACGGAAGGATGGTCTAGATAAACGTGGTGTTGAAAGGGCTCCTCAATTTGAGAGTCTTCCCCACACACACGTTATTTATAACAAGATTATTTTCATGTTTCTGAATAGTTATAAAAGCTAACTGTAAAATGTCTACTTGTGGCATCTGATCTTGAAGTATGTCTTTGTGGCCCCTTTGCCTCTTGAATATAGAGGACAGTTTGCCTTCTTAGTGAACACTGTAAGTTTGAGTTATGGCTTTGGCATTTTAATTGTTATAACAACTCAGGATTCCATTGTGTTCCTCTGAAATTTTTGGTTTCATCAAGAAGCACATACACAGCAGCAAAACTCTTGTCTGTCCTCCTGTCACTTACTGTCTGTGTGGGTTTGCTGCTGCCCTGCCTGATTAGAGCACCTGGGTGTGTAACTCAGGACTCTGGAGGCTGCTGTAGCCCTTCTCAGTGATAGTCAATCGTGCCTTGCTCCCAGGCAATCCTGGAAAATGGATCCATTGGGTTCGTAGTAGTGGAACATTCAGTATTACTACCTTATTTATGTTACTATTTTTTAAATTTACTGGTAGAATACATATTCTAAATTTATTTTATTGAAAACAATTAGCCATGCATGGTTGCACACACCTTTATTCCCATCACTCAGGAGGCAGAAGCAGACAGATCTCTTGAGTTGCAGATCAGCCTGGTCTACAGAGTGAGTTCCAGAACAGCCAGGGCTACAAAAGGAAACCCTGTGTCAAAAAAATAAATAATTCCCAGCACCTGGGAAGCAGAGGTGGATCTCAGAGAGTTCAAGGCCTGCCTGGTCTACAAAGTAAGTTCTAGGACAGCCATGACTGTCTCAAAAAACCAAATAAATGAATGAACAATTATGAACGCGTGTGCATGTATGTATACAGACACAGATAAATAGCAATATATATTTGAAGATTTATTGCCTGAATACTATTTTCGAGGAGACTGGAACTAAGGCACAGATTGGTCTCCATGCTAATCCCTAGGGACTCATGGAGAGCGAGTGGAAACCAAGACTCAAAGCGGCGTCTTTGATAACTTGAGTATAGTATCCTTGGCTGGAATATTCTGGTCAAGAGGACCGCAATTTGCCCTTCTGATGAAGCATGACATTGCCTGCCCTTCAGTATTGGAAGCTGGTAGAGTGAGTGGCTAAAACCCTATCTGGATATAATTTTTTCATCTAATGAGAAATTAATATTTTACATTATTTATAAACACAGTGATCCCCTTCCCCTGACGGGTACTAGTGACCTTAGATAATAGAAGAAAAGATTGTGTCCCTGTAAAATGTGCTCTGAAAGTCACAGCTGGGAAGTTGATGACTTATTTCTGTTTCCATCATTTTGGTGTCCCTCCCCCACTTGCTTGTCATCATCACAGACTGGAGCAAAGCCCGGGTGCTTGCTCAGCTTCCCTCCATGTCATTCCAACAGGCACCTGTACACAGACTCCATGTTTGGGAAGTTCTCAGTGTCCTGGTTCCTACTGTATAACTTCATGTAACCATTTATAATTTGTTCTTTTGTTTGGCAGATTTCGCCATTTGTCTCTTGTGAACTAAGTGACTTTCATATACCACTTACTTTCAGTGACTTAATTTTTTCATCTCTCTCAAAATTTTTATTATATTTTGAGACAGGGTCTCAACTGTCTCCTACTCCATCTACAGCTTCCAAGAAATCTTTCTAGTGAGTGTTAGCAGAAAGCAGAAACATAGCTTTCCATGTAAGCTCCATGTCATAGCTTTTGAGAAAGCGAGCCCAGTAACCTTCCCATGGGTATTTCCAGTGTTCTTGCCATGGAGCTGCCTGTTCTGCCTTCTCTTCCTGTTCCTCTTGGTTGATTTGTTAACCCCTTCTTCCCTGATTCCATTACTGTCTTTCTTCCCACTGGGCTCTGAGCTCCTTCATGTCCCAGCTGGCAGACAAATGAGTATAAAAGGAAAGGGAATCCCTACCTTAAAATAGAAAGGCAGATCCAAGAATTCATATGTATGGCTTACTCCTTTGTGCTGTGCAGGGAATGGGTCTGTCTGAAGCATCGTCCCATTGTCCTGGCTTTGGTTCTGTGTAGCTGTAGTTTCACCCACACGGTAATAGTTAGTGCTCCTGTCACAACCAGAACAAAAGTTGTGAATATTTCCATTACCGTGGTTTTTACATTGAGAAGACCATGAGATTGGGGCCTGCTAGTCTTCATTTGGGTCTGCTCTTTTCCAGGTTACCTGTCCTGTTGCCGGTTCCTGGATGACAATCAGATAGTCACCAGCTCTGGAGACACCACATGGTGAGTACCTGGCAAGGCAGAGACTGAGGCCTGAGATTCCCTGTTCTTGTTCACACTATTAGGGTGAGACTTTTGGGAGATAGTTCTCACGACTAGGTAAGACTATCTTGACCTGGGCAGTGGTGATGCGTGCCTTAGAGACAGGTGGGTGGATCTCTGTGAGTTCAAGGACAGCTTGCTCTATAGAGCGAGTTTCAGGACAGCTAAGGCTACACAGAGAAACCCTGTTTTAAAAAAAAAAAAAGAGTATCTTGAATTTGTTTATGGCTGGTGATTTAAAAACAAAGTTGCTATTCATTATACTGTCTAGGTATACAAAGTTTAGTTTTGAACAGAGAACTAAAATACGGATATTTAGACTATAGTCATATATGAAGTACCTGCTTTTCTTTCCTTTTCTCCATTTATCTTTACGTACACATATGATGTTTTAGAGGCCTTTTGCCTCTGTTTCACTGTGAAGCCAGCTCAGTACACTGTGAGCAGGAATGCAGCTTTCCAACAGCAGCTCTGCCGGACTCAGTTTCAGAACGCTTGTTCACTAGTAGGTAGAAGTCAAGTGATTCCCATTGTTAAATAACAAGACGACAGATAGTTATTTTTTTAATTAATTAATTTATTTATTAAAGATTTCTGTCACTTCCCCACCGCTGCCTCCCATTTCTCTCTCCCTCCCCCAATCAAGTCCCCCTCCCTGTCAGCCCAAAGAGCAATCAGGGTTCCCTCCCCAGTGGGAAGTCCAAGGACCACCCACCTCCATCCAGGTCTATCTAGTAAGGTGAGCATTCAAACTGCCTAGGCTCCCACAAAGCCAATATGTGCAGTAGGATCAGAAACCCATTGCCATTGTTCTTGAGTTCTCAGTAGTCCTCATTGTCCGCTATGTTCAGCGAGACCAGTTTTATCCCAGACTTTTTCAGACCCAGGCCAGCTGGCCTTGGTGAGTTCCCGATAGAACATCCCCATTGTCTCAGTGTGTGGGTGCACCCCTCGCGGTCCTGAGTTCCTTGCTCGTGCTCTCTCTCCTTCTTCTCCTGATTTGGACCTTGAGGTTTCAGTCCGGTGCTCCAATATGGGTCTCTGTCTCTGCCTCCTTTCATCTCCTGACAGATATTTGAGGTTTCAGTCCGGTGCTCCAATATGGGTCTCTGTCTCTGTCTCCTTTCATCTCCTGACAGATAGTTATTTTAAGAGAGTAATTTTAGTCTTAAGCAACCCTTGTGGGTTTTGCTGGTCACTGGAAACATTCCTGGATATATCAACAGCAGTAATTTAAATACTGCTGTGATTTATTAGAGTGGCTTACAGGCCTGCTGGTCCAGCAATAGCTGTGTCTCTTGATGAAAATGATCAAGAGTCTGGTAGTCGTGAAGCTGGATATCTCAGCTGGTCTTCTGTCTACCATNTATTCTGTTTTTTTTTTTTTTTTTTTTTTTTTTTTTTTTTTTTTGGTTTTTCGAGACAGGGTTTCTCTGTGGTTTTGGAGCCTGTCCTGGAACTAGCTCTTGTAGACCAGGCTGGTTTTGAACTCACAGAGATTCGCCTGCCTCTGCCTCCCAAGTGCTGGGATTAAAGGCGTGCACTACCATTGCCCGGCTGGAATATATCTTAAAATCAATAAAGGAATGCCTCAACAGCAAGATAGATGAGCTCGCCAGTGGGGGTGAAGACTCTCTGTCCTTTTACGTGAGCTCCCACCAGAAGGGGTGGCCCAGATTTAGCGTGGGTCTTCCCACTTCAAGTGATCCAGTCAAGAAAATCCTTCACAAATATGCCTAGCTGCTTGGGCTTAGCTAATTCCAAATGTAGTCAGGTTGACAATGAATATTAGTCATCACAGATTTCACATGGTGATCATTTTCTTGGTTTGAATGTATGAGGCTTTTGTGTTCCCTGCGTCTTTCTTCCTGTGTCCCTCCTGCCTAGAAAAGATAGCCTGTATTGTTTATATTGAAATTGACTGCTTGGATTTGTGTTGCTAGGCTGAGCCAGGCCTTCTGGTAAGGTCGACAAGAACTGGCAGCTCAGCGTGCTGTTGCCTGTGCAGGTTGCAGTGAGAAGTAGCATATGGCTGTCACTTTAGAGCCAACTCTTGCTTTATGTAGTCCTGTTGATGTTTCACCTTTGAGTACCGTCAGGCAGGCCCTTGGAATACCATGTTCATCCATGAGGACCATCTTTGCTTTATTATCCCTAACGAAGGGGAATTCAGGCAACACAGTTGCTCTGAGCCATAGATTTAACTAACAATTCCTCCCTAGTGTCTAGGAAGGTGGGAAATGGGGGTACAGAGGGAATGATAGAGGAGAAAAGCCTCTTTCCTTTCAGGCCTTAGCACTTTCTGCTGCCCATGAAAGGTACATATGTGATAAAACCTCACATGACCTGCTATGAAAGGACAACCACCCCTTTGCTGCTGTGAGGTGACCTGGAAACGAGCCTGTATGTGCATCTATACAGTTGTTTCTTTCCTCAATACAATAAGACGTGAATGTGTCTTCACATTGGCACAGAGGTCATGTGTGCTCATACCTTGTCATTTGCTCCTGCTCCAGTGCCCTGTGGGACATTGAGACTGGCCAGCAGACGACGACATTTACTGGACACACTGGAGATGTCATGAGTCTGTCTCTCGCTCCTGACACCAGACTGTTTGTCTCTGGTGCTTGTGATGCTTCAGCCAAGCTCTGGGATGTCCGAGAAGGGATGTGCCGGCAGACCTTTACAGGACATGAGTCTGACATCAATGCCATATGTGTGAGTTTAAATTATATCTGCATTAGATCTTATTTTTTAAAGTTATTATTATTAAACATTTAATTTTTAGCTAGACAGTGGTGGTGCATGCCTTTAATCCCAGCACTCAGAGGCAGAGACAGGCAGATCTCCATGAGTTCAAGGCCAGCCTGGTCTACCAAGGTTCCAGGACAGGCTCCAAAGCTATAAAGAAGCCCTGTCTCAAAAAAACAAAAGGATTTATTTTTAGGGGCTAGAGAAGATAGCCTCTTAGTTACTTTTCTGTTGATCAAGGCAACTTACAGAAAAAAAGCATTTAACTGTTGGAGAGGGTGAGTCCATGGCCATCGTGTGGGGACTGTGGCCCCATGCAGGCAAGCACGGTGCTGCAGAAGTAGCTGAGAGCTTTATCCTGATACAACCATGAAGTAAAGAGGGAAGGAGAGGGCTAACTGGGAATGGTTTGGGCTTTTGAAACCTGGAACCTTCAACAGTGGTCACACCTTTTAATCCCTCACAAACAGTTCCACCAGTGACCCAAACACAAGAATTTGTGGGACCATTCTCATTCAGACCACCACAGATGCCTAAAGCAGTTCAGAGTGCGGCTGCTCTATGGAGGATCTGGTTTAGTTCCCGCACCCACAGGGGTGGGACTCAAGGATCTCTAACTTAAGACCCAAGGGATTTGTACCCATAAGATGCAAGCAAAACACCTGTACACATAAAAATAAATAAAATACATACATTTAAAAATAAATATATGTGTATGTCTGTGTGTGGTTGCGTGCATTTATGATTACAGGTACCCACAGGGTCCAGACACAAGGTAGGGTGTTGGATGTCCCTGAGCTAGAGTTAGGCCATTATGAGCCACATGTTGTGGGTACTAAGGAACCAATAAGACTTGGGTCCTCAGCAGGTGTAGTAAGTGCTCTTAACTGCTGAGCTGTCTCTCTAGTCTTTTCCTTTTTGAAAACATTTTTTAGGTTTTTTTTTTTATTTAGTTTGTTTATTTTTTCCTCTTTTGGTTTTTCAGGGCAGAATTTTTTTTTTTTTGTGTGTGTATCTCCCGCTGTCCTGGAACTTGCTCTCTAGACCAGGCTTGCCTCAAACTCACAGAGATCCACCTGCCTCTGCCTCCTGAGTGCTGGGATTAAAGGTGTGCACCACCGTCACCCGGTTAATTGTTTATTTTTTTAATTTTTTATTGTTTTGAGACAAAGTCTGGTAATTACAGCACAGGCTGACCTGGAACTCAAAGTCTGTCCAGCCATCTCTAACAACCCCCCCCCCCAGCACTGAGATCACAGGCCTTTGCTACCACACCTGGTTTGTCGTGTTTTTTACAAATACAACCAGAGTCACAGACCAAATTGAAGCCCTGACTTGATCTTTAGAGGTCAGCTGGATTCTGTGCTCTGCATTTGTTTCAAAACTTGAAGAGGCTGTGCTAGCTCTGCTCCTTTCCCTAGATTGGCCAGTAGTTTAGAGCTGAGTACATCAGGGTATCCTCTGCTAGCCAGGGGTATGGCCAATTTAAAGCCTGCTTTCTTGTTGTAGTATCTCCTTAAGGGATGAGTCTGATTGGCTGGATCAGGATTTTGTTTCTTCACAAGTCTCTTGTGATAACTAGTGGCCATGGAACAGGAGCCCTATAGCAGTGGCTCATTCTCCTGGCTTTTCTGTACTTAAGTCTTCCTGGTGACATTGGCAGTCCATGAGGACTGTGTCAGAACTCCCCTAGCGCATGCCCCACTCACTCTTTGATGGCATTCCTGTTCTTGCTGCAGCTTCAACTTGTTTTCCTTTCCGCAGCAGCCATGCCACTAATTGCATTAACATCGGTTCTTATTGAGTTATTTATCTTTTTGTCAGTATATGGGCTAGAACTTCATATGTAATACTTCATATGTTGACCGTCTATTCACTGTGTTCCTGGTACCCTAATGACTATGCAACGTTCCGTGGTTGATTACTTTTCCCCACCCCCTTCAGTGCTTGCACATGTCTTGATTTGCCTTCTCTTCGTAGTTCTTTCCCAATGGCAATGCCTTTGCCACTGGCTCAGACGATGCTACGTGCAGGCTGTTTGACCTCCGTGCAGACCAGGAGCTCATGACCTACTCCCATGACAACATTATCTGCGGAATCACATCTGTTTCCTTCTCCAAGAGTGGCCGCCTCCTCCTGGCTGGGTACGATGACTTCAACTGCAACGTCTGGGATGCACTCAAAGCTGACAGAGCAGGTCAGTAGCCACATGGTCTTTCTGTGTTCTTGGACAGTAATTTGATTCCCCCCACTCCCATGTTTGTTGGTTTGTTGTTTGTTTTTTTGAGACAGGGTTTCTCTGTGTAGCCCTGGCTGTTGTGGTACTCACTCTCGCAGCACTTGAGACAGAGGCAGGTGGATCTCTGAATTCCAGGATAGCCAGGGCCTCAGCTATAGACCAGGGAGGCTGACCCTGAACTGCAGAGACCCTCTAGCCTTTACACGTAGTTGGTACATCATTAACTGCAGGAATTGAAAGTTGCTTCAGAAGCTTCAAACCCGTCTGTGGTGGAAGTGAATGTATGGGCAATGGTGTGCTATGTGATAGCTCCAATATCAGCTTTAGGTTCTGTATACTCATGTGGTCAATTGCTTTGAAGTTAGGTTTTTAGATTTTTTTAAGATTTATTTTATGTGTATGACTGTTTTGCCAGCATATACCACATGCATGCCTAGTACCTGCAGAGGTTGAAAATGGGATGTTGGAGGCCAGCGTAGTGTACAGAGCAAATCATGGCCTCAAAAGCTACACAAAGAAACCTTGTCTGAGGGGCGGATGAGGGAAATGGAACCCTGGAACTGGAGTTACAAATAGTTGTGAGCCACCACGTTGGTGCTTGAACCCAAACTCAGGTTCTTGGCAAGAGTAGCAAGTATTCTTAGCCACTAAGACATGGATAGATTCTTAACTGTAGTTTGTACTCTGTGGTTTTGTTTTGTTTTTTTGAGACACCGTGGCTGCCCTGGGTCCTAGCTCTGTAGAACAGGCTGGCCTCAAGCTCAGAGATCCACCTTTTAGTGCAGAGATTAAAGGAGTGCCACCACCACCAGCTTTCTGTGATTTTAAGCTTCTGTGAGTGTACAAGTTAGTACAAGAGGGTCTGGGTTTCTTACTCTGCATTTGTGAACATGTGCATGCCACCGTGGTATCCTTTTGTTCTTGTTATAGAAGAGCGTGTTATGGTTGGTTGTTCTCGGAACAGATTTGGCCATTTACCTAAGGATAATTTCCACTTGGACAAAACTTTTTTCGTCCGTGGTGTCCTTCCCTTGCTTTCTTAGGTGATGGCCGTAGCAGAGTCTTTGAGTGTTGTCTGTCAAAATGAGCCGTCCTATTCTTGTCACAGCATCATATGTTTCTGATTATATTTCCAGGTGTTTTAGCTGGACATGACAACCGTGTCAGCTGCTTGGGGGTGACTGATGATGGCATGGCTGTGGCAACAGGGTCCTGGGACAGCTTCCTCAAGATCTGGAACTAAGGCCAGTAGGTAATGGAGTTACTTGTTAGTGTAGCTAAATATATTTCTCAGGGCATGAAGTTTCCATGCATGGCTTGCAGACTAACAAAGGTGTGTTGTTGATCTGGTATTGTAGTGGTGACCCATGGCTCAGAGAGGGCAGTGGGAAGAGCTCAGATATCTGTTTTTCTTATGCACTGACCCCAAGCTCTGTTGACAGCAGCAGGTGGATGCCATGGTGACTGGAAGACCATTCCAACCTTGGAGCGTTACAGCGATAGCATACCCTATCCAACCATACTAACGTGGACACCCACACCTCCCCTCAGAACTTCAAAAGGGCAAGATCTTTTTTCCTTCACTTATTGCTGAAACCAAGAGCACAACTCCCATTAAGAGAAGGATCTCTGTGCTGTAAACTAAAACAAATTGTGCATTCCTTCCGGGGCCATTGTCTTTGTTTTCTTCTTTTGTCTTGGGTAAATTTTAAAAGGAAATACTACAATAAAAATGTTAACCAGAAGGTAACCCTGAGTGTGATTGTGAGACAGACACGCCTCTTTACTAGTTCATTTGCATTTTAGATCAGTGATCTTGTTCTGTGGCATTCTGTAATTGTTTCTAAATACGAGTTATTTGTAGCAGGACTTTGGAAGCATTCACATTTCTTTCTTAAATATATTCCTTTATGTTCAATAACTAAGAAAACCAGAGCCCATGGTAGCCTCTGATTTGTCAGGGATGCAGTTTTGTCCCTGGCTGGTTTTTTTTTTTTTTTTTTTTTTTAAATCTCATGTCATAGATGAATGTTTCGTACAAACATGGCATAGTGGAAGAAAAACATTCAGAAGCTAAGTAGCCAAGCACATGATGTGATGGCCACAAATGCTTTATTGGAATCCTTCCCCTTTGCTCAGCAGTGAACTTACTCCCAGCACCCTTCCCTCCTGACTTGTCCTCCTCACTGTCTAGTTTCTTCTCTTACCTTGGGTTTCCTGTGAAGTTGGAGGGAAGTTTGTAGTCATGTGACACTAGCCGTCCTGCCCCTGCTGTCAGAGACTTGTTCTCCAGAGAGGTGCCTGTCCTGTGCTTGGGTAGTCAGTTGGTTATTTGTGTATGAAACCATGTACAAATCAATGTTTTGAAAATAATGATCTCAGACTTTCTAAGTTAAATTTTAAACAATTTGATTGTTTGCCATATTGGGTGGGTTTACTCTTAGAATCGCATGCTGTAGAAATGCTCTAAAGTGCATATAGGACTCAGTCCTTAGATGTTCTTTTTCTTTTAAGAAATAACCTCTTCAAGTTGTACAAGTGGCGGCTTTGTCCATTACTGTTGCTATTCTGCACACATATTGGAAGCAGCAAGCGCTTTACACGCTTGAGTAGTGGGATAAGTCACTGTTTTCTTTACTTTAAAAAACAAAACAAGCAGTCCTGTTGGGAATGATTGCTGTTGGATTCAGGAGGGGAGAGGGAAAGCCGCTCTGCTGCCTCTTTGCCGCTTCCTGGAAGCCTGCCTCCATGGAACAGCACTTTTCCATCTGAGGCGACAATTTTCCACCATGCAGATCCTCGTGGTTATCATCTCAAGCCATGTTCAGCAGCAGCGTTTGGACAGCAGTGTTCTGTGGGCCTCCTCTCCCCTGTACCCTGCACCCTCATAGCAGTAGTGGCTTCGCCATCCTGTTTTCTGCAGCGTCCTGTACAAAACTGTGCTGTGACTGTGCGGTAGGCCTGGACCTGGCAAAGAGAACACAGCGAAGCCCCTTCTCTTCCTACCAAACAACTCTGTAGAGCTCTCTGCACCCTGTACCCTTTTCACCTTTTGTATTTAATTTTAAAGTCAGTGTACTGCAAGGAGGCTGGATGCAAGATAGATACTATATTAAACTGTACTGTTATTTAAGATGTAATAAAGCAGTTTGACATGAGGGACTCTGGCGTGATGGTTATTTGAGGGTCAGTTTCAGTGTATGGAGGTAGCCACATGCCCCAATTGCTTACTCAACAATGACATAACATCATGGCTGAGGATGGTGGTACCACATACCTGTAATCAACGCTCAGGAGACAGAGGCAGGTGGCTCTTTGAGTTCGGAACCAATCTGGTCTACTTAGTAAGTTTCAGAATAGCCAAAGGAATATAATAAGAGGAAGTCTGTCTCAAAAAAAAAGAAAAAAAGAGGGCCAGTGGTGGGGGCCAGCTTTGAGACGTTCCCAAGATGCTGTACATCTCAGGCCTGCAGAACCATTTGTTTTCTAGGACCCCTCAGTATCTGGGTTCTGTCTTGCATCTTCTCCTCTGGCCTCTCTACCAACAAGCTGCTTTGGCTTGTTCTTCCTGTTTTCCCACTAAAATACTGAGGATCTTCCCCTCCGAATATACTCTTTCCTTCTAACTAAGCAGCGTTTCCTTCTTAATCAATAAAGGCCGCTACATCTTGAAGGAGTGAGCATCAACCTCAGAAGTATTAAAATAAAGCTCAACTGCCATTCCTCCAGCATCCAGTCCACTGCAGTGCCTAGTTCTAGACTGAACGTGAGTTTTAAGATTATAAGAGATAGGCTGGGCATTGGTGGCACACACCTTTAAGCCCGGGAGGCAGAGGCAGGTGGATCTCTGTGAGTTTGAGGCCAGCCTGGTCTACAACAGCTAGTTCTAGGAGAGGCTCTGAAGCTACAGAGAAACCCTTTCTCGGAAAACAAAATTATAAGAGACAGGCTGAAGAGGTGGTTATTCTTCCAGAGGACCCGGGTTCAATTTCTAGCACCCACATGGCAACTCATAGCTGTAACTTTAGTTCAGTGGATCTAACACCTCACACAGAATGCAGTAAAATAAAAAATTTTAAACGAAAGGAATGATTATAAAAGACGACTTTGATCCTCAGATGCCCTATATACTAACTGGGCCAAGCTCCCTTTCATTGGGGGTGGTAAGTAAATCAGTCCACTCGGTCGGTGGTTCTCCCTTCAGAAGAGACTACCCTGATGTTGCAAGCTGTGTGGTGTGGTGATTGGCGGGCTGAGCAGATGGGTTTGCTTAGCGTAATACTCCCCCAATCTCCCTGAAGTAAATCTGTTTTTCATAGACAAATCTTTTGCAGGCTGTTACCTACCCCAATCCCCACTGAGTACAGAACACTTGAAAGTTCTTTCTGAGCTAGAGGGAAATACTGGTGAGGTTGACCATACTCCTAACACTGCCTTCTTTCTGTCTTTGAGAATCCGTATCTTAACCTATTTCTACCCTGATCTCTAGCAGGCCCAGTGGAACCAGGGCACTTCTGTCTCCACCTCAGAGGACTGGAGGTTGGTTCCTTCTCAGTCAGCTTCAAGGCTACTGCCCTCTTTAAACATGTGGACAGCAGTAGTGGCTAAATAGCAGTCAACGAAAGACCTTGAGGCACAGGCCTTTTCAGATCAGGCAGAATGCTCAGGTTTTCACAGCTTGCATTCACCACTAGATACTACTCATGCCTTCAAGTGTGCCTGAGCCAAATGACCAGCCTGCTCATACCACTGTCACTTTGCCCCTTCATGCTCAGTGCAACCCACCACCACGAGTGCTCTGTAGACTGCTCCCTACCGCTTGAGATCCCAGCAGCCAGTCACCTCTGCCTCTCGTCACAGGATGATTTTGGCCAAGTTATTTGTCCCCAGATCCCCCATGTGAGAACGAGTGAGTAGCCTGGCAGGGATTATATGAGAACAAAGTTTTTGGTGTGTGATTTCAGCTGGTGACTGTGCAGCCCAGGCTCCTGAAGTCACTGTTCCTGAGTACGCCAGGCACTAGGTCCTCAGCCTCTACATGCCATACCAAAAAGAAAGTGCCTGCTGCTGCCCCTTTCTTAATCACTGATCAGGCTGGAGAAGGGGTAGTGCCCACTCAATAAGGAAACTGTCAAGTGGGCTATTGTGGACACTAGCCCCTGATGATGGTCTTTGCCTATGCCAGGTGTTCACTAGTGGATGGTGGACAAAATAACTTTGTGGCATCCCATGACACTAAACTCTCCTCCACAATAGACTCTTTTCTGGCTACCTGTCACCTGCCTTTTGGATAGTGGATAGCTGTCATTAAACTATCACACCCTGATCAGACGAAACTAACTTCCCACTTAGTACAAGTCCCCCTTTAAACCTGTGCCTGAGAGCTTACCTGACAAACACCCCATCACCCTTGTGACAACCCAGCCCTCCCCATTCTTTCCCTAAGAAGACTAAAATCCTGGTGTTGGAGACCTGAAGCAAAAATGTGTGTAATTGCCCTGATTTCTTCCTGGTACCACACCCCGTGTGACCTTTGATCTACTTTGGAGTCTTGCCTCTGGCTATTCCCAGACTGACTCAGTGTCAGCCCTGTGGTGGGTTTGAGCAGGAGGTTCCTGAGATCTCAGTTTGGTGGGGCCCACTAAGAAATGACACAATGTCAGCTTTGTTCCTTCCTCTGAAACGGGGAAGCTGCCTACACAATCCAGGCCCTTAACCCCATTGTAAACAAAGGGTTTCCCCAGCAACCACTAGACACCTGATATTTTTATTTAAGTGTACACAGATGGCTTCTTGCTGTGTGACCTTGGACTGCAGACTACGTGCTGGACACGTTGGTGACTTCTGCTCTGGAAGTCTCTCCAAGGCTAGCCTTGTACCTGGAATGTACCGCTAGATACCAATCAAGTATTATAGTACAATGCAGTAACCTCCAAAAACACAGTTCAAGCCTTCTTTGGGTGTGGCTGGTGTTCACTATGGGGAAGGAGTTAGGCTTACAAAACACATGAGGAAGTTACAAAACTTAAGAAAACCCCTGTCATCTTCCTACCCCTATTTTTCATCTCCACTGTGCATGGATCTGTTGTTTTTGGAAGAAGAGGAGGTGAACCTCAGGAGTCCCCATCAGAGAACATCCTAACTTCAGCAGGTATGGGGGCTGTGGGGAAGCCTGGACATTGGGCTGTACAGGAAGGGCAAAGCCAAGGGTGTCAAGTCCTGCCAAATGGAGTAGTCACACCGCTGATGTGTGAACTGGGTGTCTGCCAACTTAGCATACCTCTGGATCAGTTACAAAGTCAGCACTAGTGGCCTTCTGGGCCTCCCTTCTTCCCTCATGAAACTGTGGATGAGGCACACTGTTTACAGTCACCTCTCAACTGTCAGAATTTTTTTTTTCCCCAAGACAGGGTCTCACTATGGTACCCTGGCTGGCCTAATTCCTAGAGACGCTGGTATTAAAGTAGTGAACCACCACACCCAGTCAGCTGTCAGGTTCTTAAAACTACAGGCCCAAATCCTGGACACTCTACTAAGTGTGAAAGGCCACGTGAAGTGCCTCAGGCCCACGTGAGCGCAGGTGCCCCTGAGTTGAGTTCTGATTCTGAATACTTTCAGGTCCATGCCCTGGTCATTCAGAACAACGGGGGGAGGGGAGGCAGGAAGCTGTTGGACAGTCCATGTGTTGACCCACAAGGTCCTGGAACCTCGCCTGCAGAAATCAGAGCGGGCCATAGGTCAGGGATAAAGATCAGACCACAAGGCGGAGGCAAAAAGCAGGCAAACAGCGGAAAGGAATCTGGTGTTTCTGTGTGGATGCTGAGACGGCCTAAAGGCCCAAGCAGCTTCTTTCGGCCTTGGGCCTCTGTTCCGCTTCTCTATTTTACTTCCTCTCTCTGCCCCACCTTCCCCTTCTGCTCCGCCTTCGCCACTCAGTCCCCGCCCACTCTGCCGCTCTGCCTCCGCTCTCCACCCTTTTCCGACCTTCCTTCCCCCCCCCCCCCCGTCTGCCCCGCCTCCTGTCCGACCACAACGAGCCCCAATTCCTCCCTTCGGCCCCTACCCCGGTACTGTCCCGCTTCCGCCCCTCGTGCCGTTATGCCCTGCCTCGGCTTCTTCGCCCCACCCCTTCTCTGCCTTTGCCCCGTCTCCCCCCCCGGTCCTGCCCACATTCCCTCGGCTCCGCCCCCTCTGTTGACCCCGCCTCCTCCCCGGTCCTGACCCTTCCCCTAGGCCCCGCCTCTACCCTGGTCCTGCCCCCTCCCTCGGCCCCGCCTCCACCCCGTCCCGCCCCCTTGCCTCGATCCCACCCCCTTCCCATTGGCCCCGCCTCCGCTTGGCCTCGCCCCTCCCTTTGCAGGTCGCTCTCCAGCAGCCCTGGTCCCGGGCCTACCAGGGGCGTGTGCGGTTTGGCTGCCCGTCTCTCTAGTTGCGGCTGCGCGGACCTCCCCACGTGCTCTGCAGCGCATGCGTGTGGCTCGCGCTTGCGCACTGCCTGCCGCGGCGCAGTGCTGCTTGGTGGTGCCGGACTCCGGACCGAGCGGCCATGGGTTGGCGGGCGGCTGGGTCACTGAGGGCCAGGTAGCAGTAGGGCGGCAGGGACCGCTGGCTCGCCCCAGCATGTAGACGTCCACGCGGGTGCGCGGCAGCCGACGGTGAGTGCGGGACCTTGGGTCACCCTCTGCCCGGCGTCACTCGTTGCTGGAGGCCCGTGGAGGCCGGGTCACAGCGCCGGCCCTGCCCACCTGCCAGAGGCCGGACGCTGGTGGCACTGACGCGCCTCCCTGTGTCCGAATGTGGGCTGCGGCCAGGATGACGCATGGTCTTGGGGACGAGCCTGTGGGGCAGATCTGAGGATCCGGCCGGGGGATGGATCCGTGGGACGTGTCAGAGGTTCGGGTCCCGGTAGCAGCTAGGGAGGCCTCCGTTCTGTTCCTGGCCCTGGCTACTTGAGCGCGCTGTACCGCGGTCCACTCAGCTCCCCTGGTCTTTCTGGGACCTTAGCGAGCAGGAGAGGGCTTGGCATACAAAACTTCAGAAGCCAAAACTAGTGCAAAGTAGGAAGTTAGGCGTTTCGTAACAACAATCGGGGTGTGGAATTCTCCAGAAACACATTTTAAACTTGCTGTCCAGTACTTGCCAGAAAATTCCAAAGTCCTGAATTCCTAGAGGCGAGTGCTTCTCATGACTCAGATGTCACGTTCACAGGCTTGTGCTCTGGCCGCTTTCTTAATTGTGAGACTAGGGCGTGCCCATCGCAGTCCCAGGGTCTGTTTTTCCTTGGTCAAAAACCAGCCTCTTATCAGCTCTCCTCCCAAGCAAAGAGCTTTCTCCTCGCATTGATTTTGAATAGCAAATTATTTTTCTTTTCTTGTTTGCTAACAATCTCTATTTCAGTTCAAAACTTAGGCATTTAGCTTGACTCTTGAAACGAATGTTTTTCTAAACTGTGTTCATTTACTTCATGTATCACAGTTGGGTTTTGCAGGCCTGATGGTGGCATCCTTGCCTTAGTAATTTAAGCATCTTGCTGAATGACACACTTCAAGAACCTCAGTTTCCCTCCCAACATTGCCCTCCTCAGCCTTTAGTGACCTCCTGTCCCTTGGAATTCCTTGTAGCATGCTTTTCCTCAGCCATCACTTCACTGCCACTTACGCAACCCCTTCTTGTGTTCTGGACAGCCATCGGTGACAATATACTGCCCGACCAGGTAGCATCATTTGGAGGTGGCATCTCAAATTGTTTCTGCTTTTTCTCCTTTGTGGATTTATGTATTAAAACAATTGGCAGGGGTGCTGTTTGTTCATTTTGTCTTGTTTGAGATGCCACACAGATCCAGTCCAGATCCTTACACATAATAGATGCTGTTCCACGTACCCCTCCTTTTGGGTAGAAGTGACTAACAGATAACAGCAGTGTTTAGATTAAGTTAATAGTTCAGTACTCTACGCTTCACTTGGAGGATGGAGAGACACAAGTGGCTTTCCTTTACTTTTTTAAAAAATTTATATGGACGTGAACATGCTACTGCTCATGTGTGAAGCAACTTTGAAGAGTTGGTTTTCTCCTTCCACCTGTGGGTTCCATGATCAAACTCAAGACATCGGTCTTGGCAGTATGTGCCTTTGCCTGCTGAGCTGTCTCTGATCCTTAATTTGTTTTTAGACATAATGTCATGTATTCCAAGCTGGGTTCTAACTCCCTGTGTAGCCAAGGATGACTGGACTTCTTGTCCTTCTATGTGTACCTCTGCATGCTGGCACTGTAGGCATATGCCAACTGTATCCAGTTGGGTTTTTTCTTGTTTTAATGTAATGTTGGGATCAATCCCAGGGCTTGTGTGTGTGAGGCAAGCACTCTTCCAACTGAGCTACATTTCCAGGCCTCAGGTGGTCTTACTGTTTGAAGTTTTCTTCTCTTTTCATGTGTATGCATGTATGTGGTTATGTGCACTTGAGTGCAGGTGCCTGGGAGGCAGGAGCAGGGGTCAGATCCCTGGGAGCTGCTCTAGGTGGGTTCTGGGAAGGGAATTCAAGTTCTCTGGAAGAGCAGCAAGTGCCTTAACTGCTAAGGCATCTCTCCAGCCCTGCAAGTGACTTATTATAAGGGAGTGGATTCATCTGCATCTTTATTACCTCAGATCTGCTTATTTCCTGGTACAGCAGCAAGAGAAAGTCTGTGCAGAAAGCTCAACACTGCCAGAAGGAGCCTTGGGAGGACAAGAGGACAGGCTGTGGCCTCAGGCTCCTCTTTCTTAGCTCTGTTAGCACTTAGCACATGGCTCCAGCCCTCCTGAAGATTTCACTTTTCAGCCCTGGAAACGTGTTCCTTGTTTGTGTTGTTTGCTTATCATTTTGTGTATGTCCTGACCCATGGTTGCCATGTTCCTGGGACTACCGCATGAGAACTAGTAAATTCATAAAAACGATGTTTGGGTTAAGACAGAGGTGGTACCAACATATGCCAGTGCCATCCACTCTGCAGTAGAGAGGGGTGGTACCACCTGACCACTCAGCCTCCTAGACCCATCTTCCTGTCTACCCTTTGTTGGTGGAGCCTCACCGTTCCACCACCAGATGGGGTCTCTGATCCCATTTTTCAGAACTTTCCAGAAACAGCATACTTCTCCCACCTCTCTGCTAACCTGGCTATCGTTTATTTGTAGAAATGAGGTAGATATTAGATAAATACTAAGACCTGGACAATGTGACTCACAGAAGTGATGTCAACCTGGTTGATATACCAACACCTTGTCTCAAAAACAAGTGAACAGGGGGCTGGAGAGATGGCTCAGCAGTTAAGAGCATTGCCTGCTCTTCCAAAGGTCCTGAGTTCAATTCCCGGCAACCGCATGGTGGCTCACAACCATCTGTAATGAGGTCTGGTGCCCTCTTCTGGCCTGCAGACATATACACAGACAGACTATTATATACATAATAAATGAATAAACATTAAAAAAAAAGTGAACAATAAGCATGAAACTTGGGAGGGTTTGGAGGGGGGGTGCTGCATGCCTTTAATTCTAGCACTCTGGAGGCAGAGGCAAGCGGATCTCTGTGAGTTCAAGGCCAACCTGGTCTACAGAGCTAGTTCCAGGACAGCTAGGGCTGTTACATAGAGAAAGCTTGTCCCGGAAAAAAAAAAAAAAAAAAAAGCATGGAACTTGATATTAATGAAGAAGTTAAACATTTCCTTATTACTCTCACTAATTTTCCTTTTCTTTCCTTTTGCGTCTGACTCTTGTGGCCTAGCTTGCAGTTTCCCTACCTGTGTGCCGAGGCCTGGGTGGGTAACAGGTGTGCTCTGTGCCGAGGCCTGGGTGGGTAACAGGTGTGCACCAGCAGATCTGGCTTTACTTTTTATTTACTGCTTCAAACTTGGAAGTTTGCAACTTAAATGTCTTATGTTCTCCTGCTGACTCGCGTGTGTATTCCTGACTGTTGTACGTGTATTTATTGACATCTTGATGTCTTCTTGCTACTTTCTTAGGTTCTTTAGGAATACTCCATTGTGGTGATCCAGTGCTTTTCCTAGGCCTGTTAGAGCTACATAATGAGACAAAACAATTCCAGTAGGTTTAACCTAACCCTGACCCAGCTGCCTCAGCATCTGCTGGCCTTGCCTAGAAGTAGCTATCACTTCACTTTCTAGACCTTGCTTGGAAGAGAGTCGCCTAGAGAAAAGTTGAGGACCAAAGGGTGCAACAGAAAAGGAGTGATGGTTCAATCCGGACAGCCTGAATTCAATCCCAGGGACCTCAATATAAATGGAGAAAACAGACTTACAAGAGACCACAGCGTGTGAGCTTTCTCTTTCTTTTTAAAATTATTTATTTTGTATTTTGAGACAAGTTCTCTCTATCGCTGTGACTGTCGTGGAACTCACTGTGTACACTTGTACACTGGGCCTGGCTTGCTTGCTTGCTTGATTTGTTTGGTTAAGTTTTTTGAGGTACAGTTTCTATGTGTAGCCCTGACTGTACTGGGATTAAAAGTGTGGCCACCATTGCCTGGCTCTTTACTTGCTTACTTTGTTTTTTCAAGACAGGGTTTCTTTGTGTAACTGCTCTGGCTGTTCTGGAATTTACTTTGTAGACCAGGTTGTCCATGAACTCACAGAGAGCCACCTGCCTCTTCCTCCCAGTGCTGGGATTAAAGACATTCCACCACACCTTACAAGTGCAGTTTTTAAAAAAACACAGGACAAATGACTAATGGTTACTAGCACTTGTTGCTCTTGGAGAGGAAATGGGTTTGTTTCCCTTGGCTTCTGTTAACATGGTGGCTAACACCTGTAAGCTGCAGTTCCACAGAATCCAATACTCTTCTGGTCTCTATGGGAATTGCACACACATGGTACATACATACAAGCAGGCAAAATACCCATATACCATATACATAAAAATTAATAATTTTTTTAAAGGCTCCAACAGGGGACAGGAACCTAAGAGCCCAGGCAGTGGTCACTTTCTCTTTGCCTTGAGAAACTAGCAGTCCAACTCCAGTGGACACAAAGTAGGGTGTTACAATGTTCTCTTGATAATGCTTCCTCTGCACGTTCCTTAGTCTCCTCCCCATGAAATGGCACCGCAGTCCAGCCACTGAAAGTGTTTGCATGACAGAATGGTCTTGTCTCCTGTGTTCTGCATGTTCTGTCTAGCTCTGTCTCCAGAAAACTCAAAGCTAGGGCCTGGAAGACCCAACAGTCCATATTGTCCAGCTGCTTGGACAAAGGCCAGGTGCAAAATGTACCAGAATCTGTCTACGCTCATGACCAGGAAAAGGCTGTGCCTTAGCCTAGCCATATTCTGTTAGTGATGTGCTCAGAATCACTGTTGGGTCTTTGCATCCCTAACGTCAGAGATGCCTGTGGCACCTGTTATGATGCTGTCTTCCCCCACCTGGTCTTCAGCTCCGTGCTGATGGGGTGAATTTGGGCTTTAACACTAGAGCAGAGCAGGCAGGGGGACCCAGGCTCCATCAGAGGATCTGTGCCACTGCCCAGCGCATCCCGTGTAGACACTTGCCCCAGCACAGTCTTTTGTGACAAACCGCCCACTCTGCCCAGTAGTGACCTGATAGGGCACTGCGAAGAAGGCCAGCACAGGGCACAGAACCCCCACAGGCCTTGGCCAACATAAACCCGTGGTCTC